TCATCTTAAGAATAGTGCCTTAACAATGAAACATCCCCCTGTGTGCACCGTGAGCGCAAGTCCCAATGTCCGAATTGAATCTTCAAACATCCTACCCAAAGGCAGAAGTGTTGCCAATTAAGCCAGACAGAGCGGAGGAGGTGAGGAGTGATGGACCTGCATCAATTGCCAGTGTGAGATAGGAGATGGGAGCAGGGGAGAGAGTTGCATTAATTTCTGGTGTGAGGTGAGGAGAGAATTACATCCATTCTAATCATTGGAATATGAGTACAGGAGAAAGCCATTCGGCCATTGGACCTGCTCCACCACCGACTATTCCATGGCTGGTACAATACCAACCTCTACTTTCCATCTTCCAGCCATAGCCCTGAATATTTTTACTCCCCAAGTATCTATCCATCTCTCTCATAAATAGAGACTGGATGAGACACCATCTTAAAGTGTTTCACACAGTTTTTATGTAAAGTGTAGCTAATGTGTATTTGTAGGTGAGAAGGATATTTTCCTCTCTCAGTCCAAACCAGTTGACATGGATTTTGGTCTTTGAGGCTGAACTGGCATTACTGTGACATGCCTGGCAATGGAATACCAGAATTGAGTGGCAGGCTCAGTAGTCCTGAGCCAGGTGGATCCACAATACTCCAAGGCAGCCAGACTGGTCATCAACAGAACTTGGAAGAGCAGAAAATCAATGGGGAACCTTTCCACTCAACTCCTGTTAACCCTGTAAGACATCTGTAAGACATCATCTCCAGCTGTACCTCAATGCACACTCTCGGGTCCCAATGGTTGGTTCGGGCGAGAAAGTTCATGTCCATTATTTATTCCTATTGCTGCAAACACAGACAAAAAGAAAGTAAGTTAATAAGTTAACCTCTTTCCCCGGCTAGGTTTTAAACAAATCCATTTTTGAATGCTCCGAGATGTTACCTCATGTGAAGGGCGCTATATTTATGCAAATTATTGTTGTGAAAAATATCATTGCAGGGCATTGTTGCTGGATTAAAATAAATGACATAATAGTAATAATAATCATAATAATCATTCTTGCACTTGATATAGTTGTCATGGAAGCATCTCAAAGCACTTCACAGGGATTTTACCGTGACGTGTAGTGACTGTGTATTTGCTAGACTTTTGCACTTCTGTGATTGATATTGAATTATAATAAAAAAAACTTTGCATTTGATATAGCGCTTTATCACATCTTCGAAACGTCTCAAAGCGCTTCACAGGGTACACTGTAAAGTGTATGTTTTAGCAAATTGCTTTGTGTTCCTATTTCAATTAGGTCTGAAACTAATAAAAATAAATTAATCTCTATCTAGGTTTCACATCGAACACACCCTCCCCCACAAGGCTTTGTCTAATTGTCGCACTTAATCTGTTTCTAAATTGTAATCGTCTCTGTGATGTACAGTCAGCAAACCGGGGATTATTCTAATAACATTCCTCCTATTGGCAGGAGATTAATTTCAAATTTAGCGTTTGCTCCTATGTTTTTTTTTAAAAAAAGAATGTATCTGAGTGCAATCAGCGTACAGATTTACACAGATTTAACAGCAAGAAAACAAGCCATTTGACCCAACTAGTCAATGCCAGTATTTATACTCCACATGGCTTTCCACCCACTCCTTACTCCCTCCCATACCCTCTATGGTGTTCCTTTCTCCCTCATATCTGGGTTCCTCTTAAATGCATCTATATTCTCTGCTTCAATCACTGCTTTGGGCAGCGAGTTCCACATTCTCACTACCCTCTGTGGGAAGTAGTTTCTCCCAAACTTTCTTTTATATTCTCCAGTTGCTATCTTATACTTGTGTCCCCTGCTTACAGAGCTGACACTGATGTCCTGTGAATAGGGAAGAGAGTGTATGTTTATCTGTCATTAAGTACTAGGTGTTGTACGTTTTACCCACAAAATACTGCGGGCAATTCGCTTTACAGTATATTCATAGAATATCACAGCACAGAAGGAGGCCATGTGGCCCATCGTTCCGTGAAGCGCTTTGAGACGTCTCGAACATGTGATAAGGCGCTATATCCAATGCAAGGATTATTATTCTTATTATTATATTGCAAATAACACTTTTGTTTTAATGAAATGCATTTACCTGGGATATATGTCTCGCCAGGAACACACTGCTCTCTCATGTTTTCAATATAATTAGGCAATTTTTTTTCTCTCTCTCTCTCTTGCTCTCATGAACTCTTTTTGGAGTGATAAATTGCTGTGTGTCTCCCTTTCTCAAGGGACCTCACACCGCGTGAGAGGTGCTCGATAAGTGCAAATTGTTGTTGTTCTGTCTCCTGCTTTTGTTTCCAGACTGATGTTCTGTTTCTCTCTGTCTCTTTCTTCCTTCCGGACTAATGGACCCCCCCTCCCATATCCCGGCATAACCTGGGAACACTGGGATCATTTGATGCACTTCTACTTGTGTCTGGATGAAATTGGCTGACTCGGGAACAAGCAGCGATTAATCCTGTGTGAAGGTCAATAGCGTTCAACCAGAAATTCATCATGTTTCTTTCATTGCTTATTTTACTAACCTACGTCCGACAAGGACTTGCTTATGTACATCTGTCTCTCTCTCTCCCTCTCTCATCGCTGTTAGAGTAAGTCCAGTCTCAATAACAGCAGTTTAAGAAATAGTTATACACACAGTATTAGAAAAATTAATATAATGCTCTGCAGGCAGTCGAGAATTCGGCCTTTTGCATAGGGAGACAGATTGTCTGCGCTAATAGCGCAGTAATGATGAGCAATCTATTCCTACCAAATCTCCTCTGTTTATTCTGACTGTTCCCCCCACCCACACACCCACTCCACTCTCTATCATAAACTCAATTTCTCTTCGGCCTCTTTTCTAACCTATTACATTCTCTGTAACAGTCTGTCTGTTCAGACGGACGTTAAAGATCTCAGGACACTTTTATCTTATGAAAATAATATCGGTCATTCAAGTCATAGCTCCGGGACGCTACCTCGGGTGAAGGGCGCGGTATAAACGCAAGTTGTTGCTGTTGTTGTAGCCGTTTGTGGGAGTTTGGCTACAAATGACAGTCGCTGCACTTTACTGAAAACTCTGGGAAACGCTTTGAGAACAACAACAACAACTTGAGCTTATACAGCGCCCTTGACTCAGGTCAGCGTCCCGCGAGACATTGTGTCGCCACGTCAAACGCAGTGACGGCTATTCTCGTTTGCTTTTACACCTCTTCCTCCTCCGCTCCCCTGCTTCTGTCGCACTGACTTTGATATGCAGAACTGTCCTGAGTGGCCTTAATCCCCTCTCTGCAGGGTGTTGCATTAATCCCCATCGGGTCCCAGAGTGCTTGGGGGCCAGTAATGACACACATCGAGCTCGGGCTTGTGCAAGCATGGATCTGACTCTCTAAAACTGTCATTGCCACAGGTAAATCCTAACTAATTTAGAATTTATCTCTTGTAGCGTTTGTTTTATCGATTGTATATTTCCGTGGAACCATCTGAGGGGGTTGGGGGAGCGGGGAGCGATGTGGAAATCCTGGCTTCCAGCTGCACCTTACACCTCCTGCGCTTGTATTTTAATTGGATAAGGATTCGTAATGTGCTGAACACAGAGGCGCTGGGAGGGAATGAGCTTTGAGTGCCTACAGTGTGTGAGGTATGCCCGACACCAAGGACATGAACAATGACACTTTCTGGCACACTGAGTTCCTCCATGGCAGACCCTTGACAATGTCTACGCTGCTAAACGGCCAAGTGTTCTAGGCTTACAGCAGGTAGTGCAACGAGAATCAATATTAAATAAATTATCCTCCTTTTGATATGGCGTCTTTCACAGTGAGAAGACGTCTCAAAGTGCTTTCGCTGTAAAACGTAGTGACTGTTTTGTAGGCTGATACTTTATTATTGATGTCATCGAAGCATGCCGTTCACAAAAAGCTTTAGGCAGTAATAATAGTGTTCTAGCATAGCGGCTAAAACATTGCATAGACCTCACCTCTACTCAGTAAGATAGTTCTTGATATTATAGCATTAATATCTGTTAAATTGTGCTCAGTGTTAGTCAGCATTGTGTTTAATGGGTGGTTTGTGTCTTATTTTATGGTGAACTTGGCAATAATCCATTGCTGTCTGTTCAGAGAGGGGTTTGATGTTATTCCATTGGTGTCTATTATTCTCAAATAGCCTCAGGGATAAACGGCTAGTTTGTATTATTCTACAATGCGTTCAATATCATTTGCTAGCATCTATTTTACAGTGCACACTGTGCAATGTGGCTGGCCCGTATTATCCTACAGTGAACTAAACAATTCACGGTTTGAATGTCATTCTTCAGCATGTTTCATGTTAAGGTGTTAGTGCATATTATTATGAAGAGCATTTGACGTTATTCAGTCATTCTCCGTAGTCTGCAGGAGACTTGATGCTATGCAGTTTATGTCGGGTTAGTGCACATGCTCATCGTGACATGGTTTACGTCTATTATTCCAACGTGTACTCAATGTTATCATATTATTGTCTTATTCTATGGTGCATGTCATGTTAACCAGCCAATATATAGTACTTCCAGTGTGCTTGGTAATGACATGTGTCTTTATTTTGCTGTAGTGTGATCAGTGCTACAGGGATTAACATATTATTTCGATCGAATCTTCAAAGTGATGAATTTCTATCTAATGTTTGTTCCCCAGCAATCGGATTGTACTCTATTGAGCCTGTTTGCAAATTTCAACAGTTGTTTAACATAGTGTTTTATGGACATGAATTAAAAATAGCCCTTTAGCCAACATAACTAGGCTGGTGGATCTGATTCAATTTAATCATAATGTAATTTATGGACAGTTATTAACAATAATCCTTACATTTGCTTCATTTTAACACCATGAATCCTCAGTGACAACTTTATTCATGCTGAAGTGAAGGAGCTTTTCTGAATAATAGCTACACTTTCAACACATTAGTATTTCTGAACTCGGAGACTCTCCACAAAGCTAAAGGTTTTTGTGTCAGGATGGCTGTGTTTACTCTGTATTCCAAAAAGTACTAAACTTGAGAAGGACTGATAAAACATTGGTTTGATTTAAACGTCTGGCTAACTAGGTGATTAAGGAGACCTTATCTTCTTCATGGAGTTTGTGATAAAATCTTGGCCTGCGATTCCTGGCCAAAGGTCTGAGCATCATTTGAGTGGAGCAAGCCTAGTGTTATCTCTTAGCATTGCTCAGTTTTTCTTAATTATTTCCAGGACATTACGTGAGTCTATCCATTACTACGTATGTGGCAGCAAATCTGCGCACAACAATGTCTCCCACAAATAGCCATTTGGGAGAATTGTTGGCTAGGGCACTGGGAAAAACTGACGTCTCTTTTTGAATAGAGCAATTACAAGATGCATTCTACTAATAATAATAATCGTTGTATTTGAGATAGCGTCTTATCACGTCATTGAGATGTCTCAAAGCACATCACAGAATATGCTTTAAAGTGAATTGACTATATATTTTGTGAGCGGAATATACATTAAATTTACTACAACTAAGATCTGAGAGGCAACAAATTGTAGGGAAGCTTTTCTTGCATCTCACTGCTGCACCGCATTGTATTGACAAAAACAAGTTCATTTCATTATTCAGCGAAAGTATTAACGATGAAACCTTAGGCAGGTTTCCTTACCCCACCTGTGTCTGTTTACCAGCAGTAATGCATTTCGAATGCCTGATATCCATCTCGAATCTACTGTTTAACACAATCATTTGGGTTTTTCTTTTGCCCACAGGATGTTTACCTGGGTGGTAAAGGTCGTTCCTCAGCCTCCTGAACCAGTCAAACGCCTGGAGACTGCACCGGAGGTCAAGGGTGATCCTCCACATACACAGGGACCATTAGAGCAGGTAAGAGACAGAGAGCTATCCAACACAGTATCGGGCTAATGGTGTGACACTAGAAACCAAATGAAGATGTAGAGCTCTTTTTGTAACTTAAATGACACAGATCTGTAACCTTTACCATAAGACCTAACTCTTTGACCGTGCTTCCGGTCATCTTATCCTCTCCCCACCCCAGCTCCCTCGGCTCCCACCCCCCCAGCTCACATGCCCAGCTGGCAGCGTCGAGTGCTTTGAGATGTCCTTCCGGCATGAAAAAGGCGCTGTGTAAATGTTATGTTTCTGGAAAGGAAACACAAAAATATTGTTTTGCGTCCTGTGGATGTTTCTTAAAACTAGCATCCGGCCCTCAGCAGCCAAAAGGTTGGACTCCACTGCCTTAGCTTAATACACACCTCAGCATCCCTGCTCCAGGAACTGATTGCCAAAACCATTCGAGTTTCTGCACACAGTAGGAATAAGATGGATCAGTGGGTTAGTAGAGTGTCTGTTCCCCTCTAGAACCTCTGCTCTTTATCCTGCCCAGGTTCCTCTCTGATGTGCCTAAGGATGTCCTATGTAAATTATTCCTAGAGGAAAGAAATTAACCACACCAATTGCTCCCAGTTCTGCACCTGTTTAATGGTGGCACTTTGAGAGATCACAAGGGATACGATTGTGAGATACGGAAAAACTCACACTTGTGAGTCCAGGCTACTTTCCTGAGGCTGAGCTTCCATGAATGAACTCAGTTGTTCCTTTGAAACAAACTAAAGCGAGATCCTTTCCAGCCTGAGATTGATAAAGCGTTGAAATCACAATTTCACAATGATTTGGGTTCATAGAAGACACACAGGAAAGAAGAGAGGATCTCATCCAAAAGACGGCACCTCTTGACAGTGCAATGCATTGGAGTGTTAATGGAGAATATGAACTTGCGTTACAGTCTGTTTGAATCACAGTTTTCTGACCCAGAAGCAAGAATGCTATCAACTGAGCTAAGCTGACACTGGACTGTACTTTACTGTCCATTCAATTCTCATTTTGTCAATGCTTTCCTATATTTATTTTCAAATAGAAACCGCTGAACGTTGAAATCAAAGAACAATCTTCAGCACCTAAAGATGAAACGGGTGAGTTAGCACATTGACTCTAAAGAGAGTTTTCTTGTGAAACATGAAGTGATGATACCAACAGTTAAAAGTATAGCATATACTAGCACACATTCTGCTCCCCACTCTTGATCCAAGATGCTTTTCTGGTATCAATACTAAAACAACATTGTAAAGATTATCTACTGGCATCATTATGACCAATTAGGTCAGGATATCAAGGGATACGGGGCAAGGGCAGGTAATTGGACTTGAGGTACAGATCAGCCATGATCTTATAGAATGGCGGAACAGGCTTGAGGGGCTGAATGGCCTCCTCCTATTTCTATGTTTCGACGTTTCGTGAAGAAAAGTCAGAAGTAGTCCAATGTGATTTTCATTTCTGTTGTTTTACTCGTCTCACGGAATATCTCAGACACAAAACCAACTGCAGAACAAACACAGCCCACACCAGCTGAGGAACCGGAGCCAAAGAGAGAGACGAGGTACAGTGCACTCTGTTATTCTAATGGGTTTCAGATGAGAGTTTTGATCTTAGCATTATTATTTCCACAGAATTAACGTACCCCTGGGATTCATTTTGTAACTGGAGGAATGCCCCTGGAAGTCATTATATAATAATCCTTTTGTAGTATAGAGTTCTTTACATCAGGAGGGCATCTCAAAGCGCAACACAGGATAGACTGACTGTAAAGTGTAGTGACTGGTACAAGATCATTATCTGGAGTTGCGCATTCAATTTTGGCGATGAACTAACTACTTGACATAGTCAAACTGTACCAACTACAGAGGTGAGACACATCCTGTCCAAACACCTCCTCCCTCTCAGGTGTTCCAGCCAGATCTGTGTCCATGTTCGTTTGTTATTGGGTTATTCCAGACAGTACGAGTGCTCTTCTCTGGGCAAATCCTGGGAGGGATTTCTGTAGCCTCGGAGGTCAAATTAGCCGAATTCCAAATGAAGGTGTTACTTCATAGAAAGAGGTTGGGTGTTGCTTTAATTGTTGCCGCTCTTTTATTTCAACTCTTCCCGTGCAGTTCTGGCAGGGGTGTGCTGGGATGGCTCAAACACAACCTGGGCAAAGTGATTCCACACCACGTGGGGAGCCCCACGCAAACAATAGCAGCTGTCATCACGGAGAAACAGGATACAGAACAGGTAATTCCCGCCACCTGAATAATTACAGCAAAGTTACAAAATCACTTGTATCTTAACCGGGGAAGAGAGTGCGCATACCATTCCAACAATCTATCTCTGGAATCTAATAATAATAATCCTTCCATTTGATATAGCGCCTTATCACCTCTTCGAGACGTCTCAAAGCGCTTCACCAGGATACACTGTAAAGCGCAACGACTGTGTATTTTGTGGATGAAACGCGGCAGCCATATTGCGCACAGCAGTGTCCCACAAACAGTCATGGATTGAGTCACCAAATTATTATTATTGTTATTTTTTATTTTATTATTTTTTCCATGTGTAGGTGGGATACATAATATTCTCAGTTTAGTTTGAAGCACAGTGACGGGTTTCCCCATGTGTCAGACACCTGGCTGACCAATAAAAAACTTCTATATTAACAATGTATTTGGTGCTTTTTAATAAGAACATAAGAAACGGTGGACGAAAAAAGATTTAGTTCGCCTTCCATCTTCCTGGCGATCGCATGCACATATGTCCCAAACTACCTATGTACTATATCCCATAATGTTATTTCCTAAAAGAAAACTATCTAATCTGTGTTTGAAAGAATCAACGCTTCCTGTTTCAACCATCTCCCTAGGGAGCCTGTTCCACAGGTTCACTATTCGCTCACCGAAATAGTGTTTCTGTAGATTCGTTCTGAATTTATCCCCCTTCAATCCTTTGGTTTGTTTTACATTGCTATCCTTTTAATGAAAGACTTCTGTAAGTAAGCTAAATTAGTGGTGGGAAAGTGGATAAACAAAGGCAGATTGAAAGTCTGATAGAAAGTTGAGGAGAGGATTGATGATGGCAGTTTTTTAAAGTGTGTTACGTTTTTAGAGGACAAGGAGTGGTTGATAATTTTCACCAGCCATGGAGCCAAGTTGGGTATTCAGGAGCTGACTTGGGAGAGGGAATAAGATGTGAGTTTCATTTCAGATTATATACTGGAATTCTATCAAATGGAACAAAGGAACGTTATATTGGAATGTTGTATATTTGGGAGGAGGTCTGAATGGCAAATTGAATTCTATATAATGGACCTTATATTGACAACTATACAACAGAGTGGCCAGTGTTTCATTGGAAGACTATATCCATCTCAGTTATGTCTCTGTCCATCCATTGTCTGTCTACTTCCACTTCTCCCTACAATCATCCACATTTTGTTTCCTTTCATCTTTTATGTAACATCTGAAACGTTGACCCACTGACACTACAGCCTACGAAAGAAGAGACCAAAGAAGGTAAATACAGTGTTTAGCAAACTTGTCCCCAAAATTGTGTGGTACCTGGAGTTTCATTCTCGTCAAAATACAAAGTCAATCTGGTTTAAAGATATTTGCTACATTGATGTCAAGGTGCTATTTGAAATAGCATCTTTACATCAATTTCAAAATTTGTTGCTTGTGTTTTATGTTGACTATCCTCTGAATCCCACATATGTGTCATCATTCTGCCTTCCTCCATCTCCGCAACATCACCCGGCTCCGCCACTGACTCTCCCCTCAGGCCGTCGAAACCCTCACCCATGCATTCATCACATCCAGGCTCAACCTCGCTACCTCCCTGCTCACTGCACTTCCCAATCCTTCCCTCCACAAGCTGCAGGTTATTCAGAACTCTGCAGCTCGTGCCCTCTCCTACACCAAGCTCTGTGAACCGATCGCCCCATCCTCACCTGGCTCCATTGGCTCCCCATCCCCCAGAGGATGGAGTTTAAAATCCTCATCCTCACTTTTAAAGTTCTCCACAGTCATGCTCCTCCCTCCCCACCTCTACGAACTATTAACACCCATAGCAACCCGTCCACTTCTCAGGATCGAACAAGTGTAGGTGGAGTTTGCTTTGGTGAACAGGAGAAAAATTGCAACTTATTCTTCTTAGAAATGTCGTCTGTGGCTATTTGCTTTTCCTAAAGGAACTGAGCCTTTACCTCAACCAGAATTCTGTCATCAATAAGCAACGTAAGAGTGGAAATGATTGTGTGGTACTCGCATTCTACAGCATTGTATTTATACACCCACCAGCCAGACCTAAGGTGCACATTCTGATTAGTTGTTAAAGGTACTTTGGATAAAAAGGTACCATCCTTGGGGGTGCGCTCTGGGACGCTCCTGTGCATGAGGGGGGCTATATGAAATGCAAGTTGTGTGTGCATTTATAATTTGAATTGCTGTCCCGACACCCCATAACTAAAAAGCAATATCATCTATGTATTGGTATTAACATCCATGTTAAGATAAAGCCCAATTTATCTTTATCTCTGGTGGGAAATTATCTCCCAGAAAGGTCTGAGCATTGTATGAAAACCTATTCTTGTGAATTGCCACAAACACTGGTATTGCTTCCAAGCGAAATTGTACCAGAGACAGACTGCAGGTTAATAAAAAATAATAATCCGTGCATTTGATATAGCGCCTTCTCCCGTCTCAAAGCGCTTCACAGAATATACTGTAAAGTGAATTGACTGCATATTTTTATGGGCGAAACTCGGCAGCCAATTCCACCAATTGCGTTCAGTGGAATGCATTGTGAGATGAGATGGCCACAGGTTATGTGGAGACTTTTTGATGGCGTTTAATTCACAGCGTTGTGTGCGGTTGGGGTTTTTGTGGTTTACATTAAGATTTAATATTTTTATTCACAGAGATCAAGGCACCGGATCCACCTCCAACTCCAACTCTAGCTCCTTCACCACCAGAACCATTACCACACCCAGCCCCAGCCCCAGAGCCTGCTCAACCCAGTCAGCCGCCAACTGAACCATCACCTGCTGAAGAAGCCCCTTCACTAGTCGCTGATAAGGAGAAGCAGTGAGTAGACCATGGGAGGCTTTGTTTATTCAAGATCCTCATCCTCACCTACAAGGCCATTCACGGCCTTGCTCCCTCCTACCTCTCCGACCTACTATACCCTTACTTACCTGCCCGTACCCTCCGTTCCTCTGGCTGGTCTGCAGCACATCCCCCGCCCCAACTGCCCTACCATCGGTGGCCGGGCCTTCAGCCTCTCAGCCTCTAGGCTCTGGAACTCCATCCCCCAGTGCCTTCGCCGCCTCCTCCCTTTCCTCCTTCAAGGCCGGTCTCAAGAACTTTCTCTTCGACTGTGCCTTCAGCTCCCCTCTCGACTCTCTACCCCCTCCTCGCTCCCTCCCTTCCCTCCCCTCCCCCTGACCATTTCCCCCCTGCTCGGGTCCCGACCCAATTGTCCAGCGCCTTGGGACATCCTCCCGATGTGAAAGACGCTCTATAAATGAAATCTTGTTATTGTTGTTTTTGTTAGACTAACAACCAAAGAAAAAACTGGCAAATGTACTCTGCTTTGACCTTTACGGGATTTGTCTGGTCGGGCGGGTGTTTGACACGTCCAGAATCCCGTCACAGAGCTCAGCGAGAACCCAAACCCGAATGCGGGTTCCATGCATTGCCATCTACACCTGGAAATTCCCGCGTCTGGAACAGAATGTGCACTTTCTCCCTAATTCCAGAGATTATTAGGCGCAGGTTGGCAGGAGTCGAGGCTTGGAGACCCCAGATTGCGTTGGGGGGGGGAGGTTACTGTTGGAGTTTAACCAGCTAAATCCATTTAGCTTGCCATCGAAAGCACTGTCTTATCCATCAAGACTGCCACCACTAACCAGTCTGCCCCTGCTGTGGAGCCATGGCAGTGTCCCGGAGTATTGAGGACTTGCCTGGCTCAGGAACCAGATTTCCAAGAGGATAGTTTTTTAGTCCTTTTAATTTAGGACTTTTACTTGTTTTGAATGAAATGCACTCGGCTTATAACTCCTCCACTCTCCTGGCTCCAGAGTCTTTAACAGTGACAGGATCTCCTGTGGATTGTTTCACAGAAGCCAAACGATAAACTAGCGATTGCAAATATAATCTAAACAAAACGTATAGAATAGACATAAAAATAAATATTGCGATTTATTTTTAAAGTAGAAATCTATCTCTTATGCACTTTATATCAGAATTATTTCTTTTCTGAAATGCAAGTGATGAACTCTAAGTGTTTCATGTTGCGATAACTCCTACAGTTAAAGAATTCTTTTCCTGTTTTTATTATTATTTCACCACAGCGTCGCAGAGACAGGGTAAGTTTTGAAAGCGCTGTTGCTCACTGCTGTCTGTCTCGCCTGACTTTCACTGTGCCATGCGTTTGCTCTCATCTTCTGCATTAGCTTTTGATTTTAATTCCGAACCAGGGTGAAGGGTCAAAGCTCACAGGGAACTGCACAAAGAGTAACAGAGGAATAAAACAACGAGGAAGAAGAAGCTGTTAGGTGACTCCAAGTTGGCGTTTGAAGGACTGTAGAAGAGAGAGAATACTGAGGGATTAAAGATTAGTTCCGTGATCTAGAGGCCAACAACAACAACAAGAAATGACACTAGTATGGCGCCCTTCATGTTCGAAAGAAGTCCCAGGGCGCTGGACAGTTAGAGAGCTTTTGGACCTGAGTTGGGAGTTGGAGTCAGGAGGGGTGGAGGAAAGGGGGGCTGGGGGTGGCCAAAGGTGCAGTCAAAGTGGAAGGTCTTTAGATGGGACCTGAAGGAGGCAAGAGAGGTGAGGCGGAGGGATTGTGGGATAGAGTTCCAGAGAGTGGGGGCAGAGATGCTGAATGCCCGACCGCCAATGGTGGGGTGGGAAATGCAGGGGACCTGAAGCAGGCCAGTGCCTGCCGAGTGGTAGGAAGCGGACAGGCTGATATGGGGTAAGGAGGTCGGAGAGGTAGGGGGTGCAAGACCGTGGAGGGCTTTGAAGGTGAGAATGAGGGTTTTATACTCGATTCTCTGAGGGATGAGCCAGTGAATCCGGGCAAGAATGGGGGTGATAGGTGCAATTGGTCAGGTACAAACAAAGAAAATATAAATATCCTCCTGGCGCTCCATCCCCTCTGATCCTAACCCACAGCTCGGGTTCAAACCCCTCTTCGTCCAGTTCCTTGGAACATCCTCCCAACGTGAAAAGGCGTTATATAAATGCAACTCACTGTTGATACGACAGTGATGAACTTTGCTTTCAACATAGCCACGATTTACATTGACGTTCCGCCTTTCACGTTGGGAGGATGTCTCAAAGCGCTTCATGTAATCGGCTAGGGAGAGGGCCTCAGCGTAGATTAAAATAGAGAGTTGCGATCGGTTGAGAGGGGATGGAAGCCAATGCCATTTCTTTCATCCGGTTCTGAGAAACATTCGAGCCTTTTGCCTGTGTTGCCTGTGATTCCTTCTGCCGTTGCTGCTGTCTGTCTTTGTTGCTGTCTGAATAATGTGCTCTGCTCTTGCTCTTGCTCTCAGTGTGTCTGTGCTGCTCTCCTGTGCTGGAGGAAAGAAACGGTTTGAAAAGGGTGCTGTGTTTTGTAGGGGCGGACGTGGAGGTGGAATATTCAGCTGGATTGTGCAGAGTCTGGGTAAGGTGATCCCACAGCCCGAAGGAACAGTGAAATCCCCAAAGCCGCTGTTGAGGCAGCTGACGAGCCTCCTGCCCCCCCGGAGACACAGGAGGTACATTCCGGGGGGAGTGGGAGCTCATTCTGCAACAGAGAGAGATCTGAGCAATAATAATAATAATAATAATCCTCACGTTCGATATAGTGCCTTATCACGTCGTTTTCAAACGCTTCACAGGATTTTTCCATGCAGTGCAGTGACTGTGTATTGAAAGCAAACCAGCAGCCAATTTGCCCCCAGCAAACAGCCGTGAAGTGAATGACCAACTTATGTTTTTATTTGGGGGAATTGTTGGCCAGAAGCTCCCTCAGTTTTTGAGTCATGCCGTTTAATGTCCATTTGAACAGAATGTTTTACTTCTCATCCGAAGAACGACACCTCCAACAATAGCACTCCTCCCAGCCTTTGGATGATGTTTGATTTCAGATTTTTAGATTTTAGAATCGTACAGCACAAAAAGAGCCCATTCAGCCCATCAAGTCTGTGCCGTCTCTTTGAAAAGAGCAATTTATGTCAATCCCACTCCCCAGCCCTTTCCCCATAACCCTGCAAACCCGTCCTCCTCAAATACCCGTCCACCGCGTTTTTAAAAGTTGTTATCGAATCGGCCTTTCAGGCAATGCGTTCCAGATTCAAACAACTCGCTGTGTGAAAAAAATTCTTCTCACCTCCCCTTTGCTTCTTTTAGAGACTATTTTAAATCTGTGACCTCGAGTCACCGACACACCCACCATTGGAAACAGTTTTTCCCTTTCTAACTTATCAAATCCCCTCATGATTTTGAAGACCTCTATTAGGTCTCCTCGTATGTTAACCTTCGAATCAGCATTATTTTAAAGAAGAATTGGGATTTCTCCATCACCCAGGTGCACAATACAGATACAATAGACAATACAGATTGGATCACTCATCTCATTACTATTCGTTTCGCCCACAAAATATACAGCCAATTCACGTTACAGTATATTCTGTGAAGCGCTTTGAGAACATCTCGAAGACGTGATCAGGCGCTGTATGAATCGCAAAAGGGTGGCTAAAAACAAACGTGAAACCTGATCGGGAAATCGGATTAAGATTCTGGGCTGAACGTGTATGAGTGCATATCATTTCAAAAAAAAAAGAAAGATTTTTAACTCTGTATTTTTCCCGGGTGCAGGAACCTGAACCACAGAAAGAAGAGCCTCCAGTTGAAAAGGGTGAGTGCCCTGTAGCTAATAATGAGACTTGTAATCCTCTCTATTGTTTGGCGACTTTCCTCTTTGGGTGAGACTGTGGGGGAGGTTCGTGGGCTAGTGTGGGTGTCGCGGTCTTTTGATCATGATTAGAATTCCTTTTCACGATATCATCTCAGACCACAATTATCCACAGGAAGTTTGCCAGCCGGTGCTTTCAATGGCAAGTTACATGGTTTTAGCCAAGTAAACTCCAGCAATACCCCATCGCCCACTCTAGGTTCCCCAAGCCTTGGCTCTTGCCAACCTGCGCCTAATACTCTCTGGAATTAGGTAAGGAGGGTGCATCCCTCTGGGGAGAGAGTATACATTCCATTCCAGACACGGCAGCTTCCATGAAGTAAGTGGCACAGATGGAACTCTCAGACGGGTTGGCTATTCTTAAGCATGTTGATGGATTTCAACATGTGTCAGACACCAAAAATAAATGATACAACACAAAGCTGTCACTCCTATTCAATACTGGCAGCGGAGAATGTGCTTGGCGCCCGCCTCTATTGCAATATGCTGCGGAAAGCTACTGTCACGTACAGACAACAACGTTTAGACCTCGGTCGAGTACAATAATACCCTGGAAAGGGCAATATGTCACATATGATGTGTAGTATTGTCATGAACTTCACCTCCTCACCTACTCATCTTCAGCTGTTTTTGTGTGGGGGAGCAAGACAACGTGGGAAGTGGAAGGAATGGGAGTGAGAAATAAAAACGTAGGAAGAAGAGCGAAAAATGGAAATAGAGAAAAAGCGAGGAGGCAATTCCTGTTGCCCACTGAGTGCAGTGACGTTGAGAACGTGTGCTTATAATCCAACGTTTCTCTGCTATCCTTTGGAGAGTTTAAGTTGCGAGTAAGAATTATTGATGGCTCCTGATGCCCAATTTCTCATGTTGTGTTGATTCCTGATGTTTCAGAGCCCGAGCCTGAGCCGGAACCTGTAGCTGAGGAGAAGGTGACTGTAGTGACTGTGGCTGTAGAGGAGGCCACTGATGACAAAGCAGCTCCTCCCACAGAGACATTGCCCACAGTCAAGACGATTGAAGTACCTCGTTCCCCCTCTACTGGGGGCATCAGGTAACCGAGCCCTCAATAATATTCCTCCTTATTAAATATTTTTACAAAAAAGCAAATCTTCCCTGAAATAATCCATAATCCTGTTATAAACACACGCTAAGAAGTTTAGTCAAACTGCAACGACTTACCTTTATGTTGCACCCTTCACACAGGGTAGCATCTTGGAGCGCATAACGATGGTGGAGTTTGATGCCGAGCCGGGAAGGGAGGTGATCCAGCAGGGTTGAAGAGAAAGGTTGTCAGGTGCAATTTGAACATGGGCAAAAAGAGGGTAAGGGAGAAAGAGTTACAGGGCGTTACAGTTTGGGGTCATAGCGACTCAAAGCATAGTTGGTGCAATGTTGGTGCAGAGGGGACGAGGGATGTAGAAATGGAGAGCTGGCTGCGCACTGGGGTGGTGCAGAGGAGTGGGGTGTAAGCTGGCAAGAGGTGGGGAGGTATGAGGGCATGAAGTGATTTGGGATTTGTGTAAGAATCTTGAAATCGATCGTTCTACAACAGGGAGCCAGTGGAGCCTGGCAAGGCCTGGGGTGATGGGGATCAGGGCTTAGTACAGGTGAGGATAAAAGGCGGCTGAGTTTTCAATCCTTTGGATGACATGGAAATATAGGAACAGGAATAGGCCATTCAGCCCCTTGAGCCTGTTCTGCCATTCTATAAGGTAGATCATGGCTGATCTGTACCTCAACTCCAATTACCCGCCCTCGCTTTCAATCCCTTGATACCCTGACCTAACAAATATCTATCCACCTCAGTCTTTATCAACCAGCAGAAATTTGCGCCCAAGATTTGTGCTATTTCCTCTCTCACTAACTTTGTGAAACGATTTGCAGCGTGCTTGGTTGGCTCAAACAAGGTCTGGAGAAGGTGGTCCCACATCCAGTAGAGATCTCAGTACCAGTAAGTGCCGTTGTGCAAGTGGAATCAGCTCCCTCAGAACAAAAGGTACCTATTGATGGCTCCTAAATAAGATAATTTACAAAGTGTGCGCGAGTAAACTGCTGATGTTTAATATTTTGCATTATTTTAGTTTTCTTAAAGCAGTTATGGGATTTTACTGCGAAGTGCAGTGACTGTGTATTTGCAGATAGACATTGCAGCCAATTTGTACACAGCAGAGTCTCACAAACAGCCATGAAGTGAACGACCAATTTATATTTTTATCCTGTATTTGTGTGTGGAGAGGAATGTTGGCCAGGACACTAGACACACGAGAAACTCCCTTCCCTATTCGAATAGTGCCATGGAATCTTTAATGACCACCCGAACAGGCAGATGGGACCTGAGCTAACTGTCTCATCGCAAGGATGGTACCTTAACCAACACAGCCCACCCCCCCACCCCCCACCCACCGCATTGCACTGGAGTGTCAACCTCGTCTGTGAGTTCAAAGGCCTGACTTCAAGGAGCTTTAACGCACAACCCTCTGACTCAGAGAGGAAAGCGCTTCCAACTGAGCCAGGCTGACACTTCAAGGAAGTTAAGGAACAAGGAATAACAATAATTTAATAACAAGGAATAATTGCTCCAAATATAGCTTTGCTTTTTGTCCTCAGCTTTTTTTGTTTTGCATTCAACTTTCTCTACTTCTCTCCTGAAAGATGTGAGAAAAATAGACTCAGACGCTAGCAATCTCATCTCTGGGTCAGAAGATTGTGGGTTCAAGACCCACACATTATGCTCAGGGCATCATCTTGCTAACACTCCATTGCAGCAGTGGAGATGCTATCCTTTAGATGAGAACGTTCAGTCGAGATCATATCTGTCTGGTCTGGTGGTTAGGATGATGTGAAAATACCCATCAGTATGATTTTAAACAGAACAAGAATTTCTCCATCATCCAGATGCACAAAACCAACAGATTGGATTTGATCACTCACTCATCTCATTGCTATTTGTGAGATGTTGCAGACGCAAACCAGCCATTGCTTTTGCCCACATAACAAATTCAAAGTAACTCCTTGTGCGCACACGATGGGACACTGCATGGAATGCAAAGCCTGATGATGTATCAAGTGAACTTAATCTGCTTAAGATCTGGGTTGACCATTTGTATGTATATCATTAAAAAGATAAGATACTGTCATTTTTAACCTTCGGTATTTAATTTCCTGGTACAGGAACCTGAACCACAGGAAGAAGAGCCCCCAACTGAAAAGAGTGAGTGCTCTGTAGCTAATAATCAAACTTGTAATGCTCTCTATTGTTTGTTAATATACCCCTAGGGGTTGGGGTGTTGGGGAGATAAACACTCTAGTTTGACTGTCAAAGTGTTTAGATCATGATTAGAATTCCTGTGTACGGTATCACCTTACCGTGGCACAATTGCCAAATGGGATACTCGCCAGACAGAGCTTTCAATGATGAACTTTGTAGTTTTATCTAGATAAACTCCAAGAGTATGTCAACTCACACTCTGGGTTCCTTTAGCCTTGGCTCTTGCTAACCTGTGCCTAATACTCTCTAGAATTAGGTGAGCAGGGTGCATCCCTCCGGGAGCAGAATATTCATTCCATTCTAGACACAGGGATTTCCAGGTGTCAATGGCACACGTTTTGTTATTTTGTGTGACTTTTGTTCTCGTGGGAGAGCAAGGAAAGTGGAAGGAGTGGGAGCCAGAAACAGAACGTAGGAAGAAGAGAGAGAAATGGAGACTGTGGAACAGACAGAAAGCGGAAAGAAACAGGGTGAGGGGGAGGGGATTCATGTTGGCCACTAAGTGCCGTAACATTGATGATGTGTGATTATAATCCGACGTTTCTCTGCTATCCTTCGGAGAGTTTAAGCTGTGAGTAAGAACTATTGATGGTTCTTGATGCCCAATTTCTCATGTTGTGTTGATTCCTGATGTCTCAGAGCCCGAGCCTGAGCCAGAGCCTGTAGCTGAGGTGAAGGTGACTGTAGTGACTGTGGCTGTAGAGGAGGCCACTGACGGCAAAGCAGCTCCTCCCACAGAGACATCTCCCACAGTCAAGACGATTGATGTACCTCGTTCCCCCTCTACTGGGGGCATCAGGTAACCGACCCCTCAATAATATTCCTCCTTATTAAATATTTTTACAAAAATTCAACCTTCCCTGAATGAATTATTAAGTTTGGCCACGAATTACACAGTGGATCCACTTTACGATACAGTCCGCGAAGCGCTCTGAGACGAATGCGTGATGTGATAAGACGCTTAAATCAAATGCAAGGACTATCATTAGTCTAAATGTTACTGTTTTCAAGTATTAGAATCCTGTTATAAACGCGTGTAACTTTACCAGCCAGAGGAAACCTGCTCCCAGGATTCGTGCTGCCACGTCCAAGGTGCGCAAGTGCGGCTGTATAAATAAATGCAAGGCGTTGTTATTTCCTCGCGCGCTAACTTTGTGAAACGATTTGCAGCGTGCTCGGTTGGCTCAAACACGGTCTGGAGAAGGTGGTCCCACAGCCAGTGGAGATCTCAGTACCGGGAAGTGCCATTGCGCAAGTGGAATCAGCTCCCTCAGAACAAGAGGTACACACGGACGGTTCCTAAATAAATAAATAAATAAATAAGATTATTTGCAGAGTTTTACACACTCGGAAACTCTACGTTAGAACTAAGCGTCTAGACTTCCCTTTATATAATTGCAAGTTGTTGTTGCGGTTGTCGTGTTAGACTGCAGTGGGTATAAGGTGACTCACTCACACACGGTGTATTACAATGTATAGTTTGAGGTGATGCAATTCATTCGCACTCTTTCCCCTCTCAGCTGAGATGGGCAAAGAGTGCGAATGAATTGCATCACCTCAAACTTAAAAAAATGTTTCAACACGTCATGTCACGGTATTTTCTATGTCGTGTACAGGTTATTGCACAGTGTTCTATTTGCTAAGAGGGTTCAACGAGGAATAATTTGGAACAGAATCTGCCGGTCTGAGCTGCTGTAAAGTTAGATTTTCCTTTGCTGCATGTTACAGTGAAATAGGATAGTCTCCGTATATTGTACCAGCTTCCCTCGGAGTGACTGAGATTCCTCATGTTTACTGACTGCCCAAAAGACTGGGTTTTCATCAAACTAGTTAGTCCAACGTCATCGCCTAAAACACTGTTCCTAGCAATCTGTTCCAATCGTGATTTACCATATGAGTAAAGAAATACTTCTGTCATGAAATTTTCCATTGCAATTCTAAACCCACACACTCTTATTCTCCTGTCACTGTGCCTCCTAAAGTATTCTTCAGGACGCGTGGAGTCCTGTAGAGTTGTGGTTAGAGCACTCGCCTTGCAAGCGAGAGGTCCTGGGTTTCCAAACAGGACAACACGCCTCTGTTTCCCTTGCAGTATACAGGAACCTGGTTGTTAGTTGGTTGGCGGATCGCTTTTCCAGGGGATAATAATTAATAAAAAAAAAAAAAATGTGATCACTCAATCCACGACTGCTTGTGGGACGCTGCTGTGCCCAATTGGCTGCTGCGTTTCGCCCACAAATATACAGTCAATTCACTTTACAGTACATTCTGTGAAGCGCTTTGAGACGTCGCAAAGACGTGATAAGGCGCTGTATCACATGCAAGGATTATTATTATTTTCAATCATACTTAAAATTGTGTATACATATATATTTATATATCTATAAAGTCCCATCTCCTTTCAAAACCGAGGAGTCCGAAATTGACTAATCATTGCTCGTAGCTCATTCTGCTAACGCTGAGGATCGTCCTTGTTGATCTTTTTTTGCAATGCCTCTCGTGCCTGGGCAACCCACTTGTGCTGAAGTGACCCTAACTGTATGCGGTACTCTGAGTGTCGCCTGATTAGAGAACGATATAGCTTGAGTATGAATGTCTGGGTCTGTAAACTCAACTGATTTGGCAATGTAGCACAGAATCCTGTTTGCCTTGTTTATTGTTGCCTCGGACTGTGTTGACACAATGAGCAATCAATCAACTGACACCCCTGGATCTGTTTCACCTTCTCCCTTGGCAAGTTCTTTACATCCTGTTCTTTTTACACCCTGTTATTGAAAGGTCAAACTGGTGGAGGAGCCAAAGGTAGAAGAGGAGGAGACTGATGAAGAAGAAACCCAAACTGTCACCGTTATAGAAGGTAAAACTTTACTACAACAACAACAACATCAGAATTACATTTGTACAGAGCCTTTCATGTCGGGAGGATGTCCCAAGGTGCTGGACAGTCAGTGTTTCGGACCCGAGCTGGGGTCGGGATTGGGGAGGATGGAGGGCAGGGGGGGATGGAGGGTGATCGAAAGCACGGTCAAAGAGGGGGGTGGTCTTGAGATGGGTCTTGAAGTAGGCAAGAGAGAGAGCGAGGCGGAGGGACTGCGGGATGGGGTTCCAGAGGGTGGGGACAAAATGGCGGAAGGCCCGCTTGCCAATGGTGGGGCGCGAGGTGGGGGACATGAAGCAGGCCGGAGCCCACTGAGCAGAGGGAATGGGTCGGTTGGTAGGGGGTTAGGAGGTTGCAGAGGTATGGGGGAAGCAAAGTCATGGAGGGCTTTGAAGATGAGGACCAGCATCTTGAACTGTATCCTCTGTGTGATGGGAAACCAGTGGAGTCATGCGAGGATAGGGTTGATAGAGTCACAGAGCCTGATGCAGGAGAGGACATGGGCTGCAGAGTTCTGGATGATCTGCAGCCTATGGAGGGAAGAGTTTGGGGGCTGACAAGCAAGAAGTTTGCGTAGTTGAGCCTGGATGTAATGAATGCATGTATGAGGGTTTTGGCGGCCTGCGGTGTGAGGCAGTGGCAGAGCCGGGCGATGTTGTGGAGGTGGGTTCATGGTACGGATGTGGGGTAGAAAGGATAGTTGAGGGTCAAACAAGATGCCAAGGTTCCAGACTGGCTTAGTAATGTGGAGTGTACATCCATGGATGGTGATGCTGTCAGCGCCTGAGTTGTGGAGGTGCTGACGGGAGCCAATCAGGAGGGCCTCAACTGAAGAACGTTAGCTCTCATCCAGGACTTGATGTCTGACAGACTTTCTGTCAGGACAGCAGTGGTCTGGAGTCAAAAGTGGAGGCCGAGAGGTACATTTGGGAGTAATCCGCATACATGTGGAAGTTGACCCCATGTTTGCAGATGATCTCACCAAGAGGCTTTGCTATGTTTAGTAACATAACAAAGCAATGTTGTCCATCAGGTCCTGTTTCTCCAGCCCACATACAACTTACCCTGTTGTGGGCTCCACTCCACTCGCTCCATTTGATTAACAAAAACATAAGAACATAAGAATTTGCTTGGCGAAAAAAGATCAAGGTCCATCCAATTTGCCCTTCACCATCCTGGCAGTCGCGTGACATGTTGTGTCCCAAATTATATACTCTATTTCCAAACATAACTCTAACTAAATTATGATTGAAAGATTCAATATTTTCTTGCATCCACTGTCTCCAAAGGGAGCCTGTTCCATTACGTTTACTACTCCCTCACTGAAACAGTGTTTCCATAGATTCATTCTGAATTTACCCGCGTTTCAATCGCAGGCTGATTAATGTGGAGTGATGCCAGTTCTAGACCAGTGTTTGACTGGCACTGTAATAACTAATGCATTTATTTTTCCATAAAGGATACAATTGCTGTAAAATTATCGTGCTTTTGGTCCTATCCCATTTACTAACAGTTGCAGTTCAGATCTGTTCTGGTTCACTTTAATCATTTTAGATCCTGTCCGTTGATAACATTCAAGGTTAGTTGCCGGGTTATAGAAATTACAGGGCTGTGTCCAGGTGAGATACAGGGTGAGTCACCATATTGTGTAAATGTGGAGTAATGTCAGGTTTAGATGGGTGGTACTGCAATAATCTTAATTGTTCATCCTTTCTGTCTTCCCCAGTCACTGTAATTGCCCCAACCCCAGACCCTATTGTGAAAGAAGAGAAAGAGCCAGACACTAAAACCAGGTATGATTATTGGGATTAAATTATTACAAGTAATTTATGAAGCCCTGCTCTTAACTGGATGTTTTCAGTGTGTGAGTAAGCTCATTGCTGTGAGTGGTAATGAACGGATGCGTTCAACTTAAACATCCCTCTCATAAGCACCCCTCTCTACACCATGAATCAGCCACATTTGTATGTTGGACATCTTATTTGAAAGCTTTTGGATAAAAGGCGTGTTTAGTAATTTTATCAAATATCTGGATGCCTTATTTGTTTCCTTTTTTGTTTGCAACAGTCAGGAGGATAAGAGGTAATGCTGTATTCAACTGCCTGGATCTGCTCATTTTATAGAGCTAGCTTCTTGCTAGTTACTGAACTTAGTGCATTATCTTTAGTGTGAGGCTGGTGCTGTATATGAGCTATGTCAGATTAGACTCCAGACTACAACGAGCACAATTAGGCTACAGCCAAGTTCAACTGCATGTTCACAACCTCAATGCCAGACCCATGAGCTCCATCACTATAACTTGATGCCCTTTCACTCTGTTTATGAGTCTATGATTCAGAGCTTTAGAACACTAACAACTGGCATTTATATTGCCCCCTTTACACAGGGAACACTGATTAATGGCGTAGTTTGACGCCATAGAATCAATGGGCAATGGAGCGGTCAAGAACAGTAACAGATTACAAGGAAGGGGTTTTAGACCGGGACACAAGACTCCTTTAGGATAAGATTGAAGTTGCAATAGGAAGATGCTAGGGTTGGTATTCTGGAGAATATAATAAAAAAAATCCTTACCTTTGATATAGTGCCTTTCATGTCAGGAAGATGTTCCCAAGCGCTTCAGAGGAACTGCTGTAAACTGTGGTAACTGTACTTTGTAAGCGAATATGATGAGATCAAATGGGTGGAAGAGCCTTTGTCATCTGAACCTCTCTTTGTGCTGCTAACTAGAAGCTGTGCAGAGTTTTGTGGCAATGTGTGAGGCTTCCTGGCTTGCTCAAAGCGCCTTGTTGTTCGCATGTGCTAGTCTCCTGAAACCATATGCTTTTCTGTGTTATGCACAGCCATGTTGCATTTGGCTAGTTTAGAAGAAGAGTAAATAAGTCATTTGAAAATGGGTGACAGAGTGAGGCCTCGCAACAGTTTACTGGAGGAGTGTAAGTTTATATATGGGTCCCCAAAAAGGTAGGTTTCAAAATAATACATTAGCAATCCTTGCATTTGATGTGGTGCCATTCACATTGGAAGGAAGTGACAAAGCATCTCACTGAATATACATGTAGTGACTGTGTATTTTGTAGGACTAACACGGCTGGCAATTGCACACAGCAATGTTCCACAAACAGCTATGAAGCGAATGACCAATTTTATCTGGGGGATTGTCGGCTCAGGGGAATTGCCTTCTCTTTTCGAGTAGTGCTATGAGATCTTTAACCTCACCTGATGTGATTGAGAAAGTTTATGTACAAAGGATTTAAAGTGTTAAAATGTGGTGCATGGCGACAGGTGTCTCTCAAGATGAAGAGATGTTTATAGTGGAACTGGAACCCAGAGAGCCAGTCGTTGGAAAGTTATTTGATTGATGAAAAAATCTCTACTTTCTCCTGTGAAATAGAATGTTTTAAATGTTGTGGTTAGAAGGTTAGTCATTAGTAATGACATTACTAAATATACCATATGGTATGGCATTGAGCTGAAGGTCCTAGGTTTGTGTCTGACATAACAGATAGATGTGTCTGTGACCCGTGGTCACAGTCTTAAGATATCTACCAAAAGAAGCAGAGGGGAGGTTAGAAGAAATTTTTTCACTCAGCGAGTTGTTCGAATTTGGAATGATCTGCCTGAAAGGGTAGTGAAGTCCGATTCGATAACAGCTTTTAAGAGAGAACTGGATAGGTATCTGGGGAAGACGGGTTTGCAGGGTTATGGGGAGAAAGCTGGTGATTGGGGTTAGTGAAAGTGACTTGCTCTGTCAAAAAGCCGGCACAGACTCGATGGGCCGAATGGCCTCCTTCTGTGCCGTAACATTCTATGTATCTATGAATCTATGAATCTATGAATGAGGGGCAGTGGGGGAGAGGGAGCAGTGGGCAGGGAGGTGCAGAAGACATGGGAGGAGTGGTGGTGGGCAGGGAGAGCAGTGGTGAGGTGGGGGGTGGTGGGGGAGTGGGGGCAAATTTCTATAATGAATTGGTATCAGTATTGCTGACATTTTACTTCTGATAACAATCCCATGTCTCCGTGTGGATAAGTTCATTCAAATGGACTTGGGCAAGGGAAGATTTGGGGCTGCCTCGTAATGCCTCTCAGTTTAAGAGCTTTAAACTGACACATTTTGTCTAGTTTCAACCATGAAATTTAACCACTGTGAAATTCAAATACCGTCACCCATATCATTGTATTTAATGAGAGAAAATCTGAAATGGATGGCACAGGGAACCTGAGATCTGGCTAGCTAAAAATCACATCATTACTCATTACTTCCGGGTAATTGAGAACCTACCTAAAGCTTTTCCTGGGTCTTTCACGTCGGGAGGATGTCCCAAGGCGCTGAACAGTCAGGGATTAGGACCCGAGCCGGGGGCGGTTGGGATGAGGGAGGATGGGGGTAGGAGGGTGGGGCTAGGAGGGTGGGGGCAGGAGTGTTGGGGCAGGAGGGTGGCTGAAGGCACGGTCAAAGAGGAGGGTCTTGAGGTGTGCCTTGAAGAAGGCAAAGGAGGGAGCGAAGTGATGGGAATGTGGGATGGAGTTCCAGAGGATGGGGGCAGAGTAGGGTGACTACTGTGGATATCACAGTACCACTATTCTACAGGTCTTATGTGTTTGACTTATTTTATCCTTGTGCCCACGCAGTGTCTTCAGCTGGTTTGTAGAAGGTCTGGGGAAAGTTGTGCCACAGCCAGTCACCAAATCTCAACAAACAACACAGGAAAAGCTCCAGGTAGGTTCTGAATTAACAATCGAGTAAAGCAAGTGTCAGGAAATGGGAATGAAAAACACTCCTCTTAAGCTCTCGTCCCTTCAAGGTCAGCATTAAGCGAAAGGTGAGACAAGCCAACGTCACTGAGAACAGTCAGCCAGGGCATTTGACAGTAAGGAGTTGCTGGAAGGAGTGAGTCATTTAGACTGTGGGCTCACTGTCAGTAAATGGTGGATAATGGTGCGAGGCCATCATCTGCGCTGTGTAATAATCATCACTGGAGCTGAATGATTATCGCCTGTGAGTACAAGTGTCAGTTGGTGTTTTTTTGCTGAACAGAATACTCAGCATAAAACTATAACATTGAATCTGGTCCCTGTCAGTGGGGGGTGGGAGGGAACTGCCTCTGTAACACTAGACCATGCATATTCAATACTTCAGGATTTTTCCATTTGAATCACATGTTAGACACTCACCTCCCGCCATTATATTATTAACTCAGAGAATCAGAGAATCTTACAACACAAGAAGGAGGCTATTCGGCCCATCGTGCCTTCCAATTTCTTCTCAATTTCGTTCGCAAGAAATAAATTTATTTTGACTTGTTTACTGAGATTTATGTCACCCACCAGTCAGCAGGATAACAGTGCATTGCCTCTGTCAATGTGTGTAGGAGAAGTGTTTGACTGCGGGTGGTGTGAGCAGACATTCAGGCCCATTCCACAATCCAAATCGGGAAAACTTTACAAATCTGAAGCATTTTCTTAATTCGCAGATCGGTGGCTCAAAGATTTCCAAAATGAACTGAATAAGATGTCCCAGATTTCATAGGGTTCTAAAGTGTGTGTATGTTTCTGTGCTCTTCTAGGATGACAGGGATGTGACAACGAGTCCGGTCGAGGAAAGTGAGTACGCCTTTCTCCTGAAAACCCTGTCAATGGTTTGAGGAAGAACTTGATGCAAGAAACACTAAGCAGGCCACTGAGAAGGAACGATAAGTTACTAGGGTCTAACTTGCAAGATTTCTAAAAGGATTTGTAAATAGCAAATCCTGCAGGTACTTGATCAGATCTGCCTCAGATTGACCTCTCTTCCTTTTAGCTTCCTGACTGAGGGCAAAGAAACTTTCTAACATCCGGTGGGAGACTGATATTCTCAAGTGGAGTTTCAGCATTTTCAACAACAACAACAAATTACATTTACATAGCACCTTCCAAGGCGCAGATTACTATTTCAGTGAATAGTATCACTCATAATCTTCCAAGTTAGACCCCAATGTCTCAAACTAATTTTATGTATATTAAACTTGCATTTGATATAGCGTCTTATCACGTCTTCGAGACGTCTCAAAGCGCTTCACGGAATATGTTGTAAAGTGGAATCTTCCACATGCAGCAGTACACAAAATCAATGATTGATCTTGCATTTTTACACCAAAACGACTCAAATGACTTCACACTAATTTCTGTCAAGGATACGGTAGTGACTTTTTTGTAGATAAACGCAGTAGTCATTGTTACACACGACGAAGGTCACAAACAGCCACGAGGTGAAAGATACATTTTTCTGGGGATTGTTAACCTGCTGGACACCGGGAGAAAATCCCCTTCTCTTTTCATATACAGTAGTGCCTTTCATATCTTTAATGTCCACCTGAAGGACCTCAGTCAAAGGATAGCACCTCTGACAATGCAGTATCCCCATCCCTATACTGGAGTGCATTCTGAGACTGTGAACTCAGGTATGATGTTAGTGAATCAGAGAGCTCGCCTGAGAGTTTGAATCTTTAATCTGTGAATCCTGATCTTTTAGGCAGATAATTGTGAACTTTATCGCATTTATACAGTTTATACAGTGTCGGATGTGGCAATCCTTGAGTTAAGATCAACAACAACAAATTACACTTGTATAGCGCCTTTCATGTAGGGAGGATGTCCCTATCCTTGAATGAACAATTCAGAGGGTGCTTTACTCCTCATCTATCCTGTACTGTAGCTGACCCAAGAGAAGTTGTTAGGTGTCAGTTTGGAAACGTATTTCACTATCTAGCACTGACAGCTTTCCATCTCTGTGCAATAGCAAATGTTATATTCATGATATTGCCCATCAGTAGTAATGTCAGTGCTGTCCGCTGTATCCAAAATGGTTTGATTGGCAGGAGTAGCAGCTGAAGAAGTAAAGCAAAGCTGGGAGGCAGGAGGTGAGTGGAGGCAGGGAGGGGACTGGGAACAGCAGAGTCTCGTTTGTGCCCTAATCCATTCTTCTTCTCCTTTGTTTCAGGAGAGAAGGTGGTTCAAGTCTCTGAAACAAAAGGAAAATGAAGACTTTGGAAAGATGTCAGTCAGTGTGTGTAGATAGGGAGCAAGTCCAGTCTGGGACTTGTATATCATGTCATTTCTGACCTGGGCCCCACACAGAGACTTGGAGACATTGAACAGCTTGACTTAGGGCAGGAAGTTTGTGTGTGGGGCGCTCAGTGTGTCTGGAGGGGTAACACTGAGCAATGAAGGGGGAAGACGTGCAACCTTCTGCCTTCACACGCACACACTGACGCTCTTATTTATCCTGCTTCTGAATGCCCACAAAATCCTGCAAGCATTTAGTGACGATTTTCATCAAGAAATAATATTATTAATATCAAAAAATACCATTTAAACAACGGAACCCGCATTGTAGAATTGGTTTATGAGGTGCAATTTACAATTGTACAAGGGTCTTTGCCATCTCCTGTGGTCCCTCCGTCTCAAAGTGGGTCTCTCTCACAGAATAGACCCTCCCTATATCTAACATATAGTGTAAATAAGTCAAAAAGTATGGTTCACTTGTACTGTTAGTCCAGTGCCATTTTATTTGCAAATTTAAAGCAAAATTGTGCAATATTTTTAGAGAGAAAAGGAATTTGACAGAATCCACTATATTGAATACAACCTACAATCTAGCTGACAGTCTCAAGCATTCCATTATCCATCAGTCTTCACCTATATTAGAAACCGAGATTGAAGACCACAAAAGCAATTATACTGTGAAAAATAAAGGTGACATTCAGCCACCCTGAGTCCTGTGTCTTATTACCTGGTTATTCTGAAATTCCCCCAAATTTACTTTTGTTCAGAAGTCAGTTCTTCCTTTGTCTGCCTGATCAGGTGGATGTTAAAGACCTCACTGCACTATTCCAAAAGAGAAGGGAGTTTTTCTCTCCTGGTGTCCTGGTCAACAACCCCTCCAAATAAGATTAGTCACTCACTCCATGGCTGTTTGTGGAACATTGGCTGCTGCTTTTGCTTTGTTCACAACTGCACAGTCACTACACTTTACGCTAAAATCACGTGAAATGCTTTGAGATGTTTTGACAACATGAAAAGGAGCTGTATGAAATGCAAGAATTATTATCATTAAGAAAGTTAAGTTCAAGTCTACGGCATCCAATGGTTGGACCTTCCATTGATCAATAGAGAGAAAGGGGAATGGGATGGAGTTGCATTTTTATAATAATCCTTATATTTGATACAGCACTTTTCACATCTGTAGACGTCTCAAAGCGCTTCACAGAATAGACTGTAAACTGAATTGACTGTATATTTGTGGGCGAAACGTGGCAGCCAATTGCACACAGCAGCGTCCCACAAACAGTGGTGGATTGAAATGACCAATTTATTATTATTTTTTTCTTGAGGGATTATTATCAGGTGTGTGGAGTAAGGACACTTGTCCAGGGTTTTGCCCTGCTGGGAATCGAACCCAGGTCTCTCGCTTGCGAGTGCTCTAACCACTGAGCTACAGGACCCCACTTTTTGGGTAGAATTCATAATTTTTTAATATTTGGACAAGTGTAGTCAGACTCTTGTACGGTAGTACAGTTCCCACGGGTGATTACAAGTAAAGTGAGTGAGTCAGCAGATAGAAGCCTTTGTTGTGTTTTAAAGTGTCTTGTAATAACATTGAGATGGTCTGTAGGTGAAGCTCAATATGATGAGATGGTGCCCTGATCCTGTTGCACTGCCAGCAGTCTGTAAAGGTCTGCTCTCCTCATTATCCCTTACACATGTGTTCAATAATAGTGGCAGTGATTTGATGTAGAATATGTCGACTTGGCTCAGCAGGCAACAACAACTTGCATTTATATAGTACCTTTCATGTGGGGCAGTGTCTCAAAGTGCTTAACAGTGGCGGAGCCTGACTCTGAGGGAGTGTGTGACCATAAGCATAGTAGAAGAGAAAGGTCTCAGTCGTCATCTAAAAGAGGGGAAAGAGAGAGGGGGGCAAGGCGGAGGGATTGGGGGAGAGAGTTCCAATGCTATAGGGCGTAGTGGAGCGGAGGGGACAAGGTACAAGCAGGAGGAGAGAGCCAGCCAAGCGGAGGCAGTGGATAGTGGAGTGGGGAGAAAGGACGGAAAGGTAGGGAGGTGTCATGGCGTGAAGGGATTTGTAGACAAGTGAGAGGATCTTAAATCGATCTGGAGCTTGGTGAGGACTGGTGTGATGGGGGCAGGCAGCACTCTCTCTGTTCAGAAAGCTCATCTCTGGGGCAGTAAGTTGTGGATTTAAACTTGCGTTGAGAATTTCAGTTCAGGCTGATGCAGTAGCGCAGTTGTGTGGGAGCATTCGATTGTTGAAGGTGCCGTCCTCTGGATGACTTGTTAAATCAAGGATATTAGGAAGGATTGTAACTGTGGAGGGTATATTTGGAAGAAGCTGTCTCTGGAATGATATTTGATCCCTAATATTGAGCAGGAGCCACGATCAACAACTGGAGCTCAAAATAACTGACACACGATATAGGCTGGGTTTAGAGAAAGTGAACACGGAGCAGAGAAAACTTAGACTTAATTTCAGACAGTGTGAATGTCTGTGAGCTTGGGGGGGTTGGGGTGTGGGAGGTGGGGGAAAGGGGGTGAAATGTGCCACAAATGGTTTTCGAAGTTAAGTCCGCAAGAACACTTAAAGGGGTCAAAACGCTAAAGGTAATTATTAAAGGGTATGAGGAAGGAACAGAGGAAGAAGAGATCTCCCTTGAGCTAGCACCAAGCTCCAAATGACAAGGTCCAAATGGTGTCTTGTTTCCATGACAGCAGGAAGGTGCAACGTAAAGATATGAGGAAATGACCCCTGTTGAGGTCAGGTGGTTTTTACCGTGGTGTGATTTTGTGCCTCTTTAAAAGCCGTTGGCACAATTTATTTTGTCAACAGAGGGTTATGGGGCCAAGGGAACACCACAGTCTCATTCCACATGGAGTTACGCCAGAAATTATAATGGGCAACTGGGTGATGGAAGGCGGATGTAATGAATGTTCCAATAAAGGTCATTTGGATTGGATTCCCGTCCCCTGTGGCTGGTAAACATTAGGAAAGCAGGAAGTCAATCAATTGCTCTGGTGACAGAGGCTTTTGAAGTAGCTCATTAATGTCCAGAGGCTAATTGCTGAGTCCCACATGACGGTGAAGGTAGAGAGATGCTTTGCTTTGAATTAAGGCATGTACTGATTGTTGAGAACAAGGAATCTCTAGATAGTGAGACTCTGATGGGTTGGGGAGCGGGTGAGGGAAACAAGATGATATAAACAAAAAGGGAGGGGAGGACTGTGATATATTCACCCATACAATGTATTCTGTGAAGCGCTTTGAGACGTCTCAACCACGTGATAAGGGGCTATATCAAATGCAAGGATCATTATTATTGTTGTACTTTGAAAAATAAAGAAATTATTTTTAACAATTTGTTAAAAATAATAAATTGGTCACTTCACTCCACGACTGTTGTGGGACCCCGCTGCGTTTCGCCCACAAAATATAGTCAATTCACGCTTTGAGACGTCCTCCTGATGTGAAAGGTGCTGTATCAAATGTAATTTGTTGTTGTTGTTGTTGTCTAGAAGACGTGATAAGGCACTATATCAAATGCGGGGGTTATTATTTTAACTCAAAATCTAGGCTGACACTCCAGTGCAACACTGGGGAGAGCACTGCAATGTCGGAGGTGTCGTCCTTCAGATGTTATTAAACCGAGGCTCTGTCTGTCTGGTCAGGTGGGCATTTAAGATCCCACGTTGCTATTCAAAAAGTGAACGGAGTTTCCCACTGTATCTTCTGGGACTCTCTACTGTGTTGACCAAGTAACCCCTCCAAAAAGAGTAAGCATACCCCCATTATCCAGTGACGGAGGAGGAATGCTGCGGTAGAGAAAAAAAAACTCAGGAAGAGACGATAAAAAGGTGAAACCATTACAGATCAAAAAATAAAGGAACGACCTAATCAAGAATGCAAGATCCCAGAAAGCATCCGCTAGCAAGATCAGTGAACCAGACAGGAAGGTTAAAGGGGAAAAGAGTATAATTGTGTGAATAAATATAAATGCTAGAAGCATTAAATTGGAACGAGAGACAATGTTGGCAATGGGTATTTATGATGTAGTTGGAATCACAGAGACATTGGCTAAACATGGATGATGGAAGTGAATGTAACTTACGAGAATATAGGCTATTCAGGAAAGATGGAAGCAATAGGAAAGCCGGAAGAGTTTCCATGTGTATAAAAGACACCTGGGAGGTTAAGGTAATTGAGTTGACATCACAGGATTAAGCACAGTACACAATCACAATCCCTTTGGTTAGGATGGGCTCAACTAGAAAAGGGACAGACTCTAACATTTGCTACAGAGCACAAGGACAAAGCAGAGAGAATGACTCGTATGTCAATATTAGGAGTATACATCAGAAAAAAGAAGGTGGTACTGATGGGGGATTTCAATCAGCCCAACATAAACAGGGAATGTTCAAGTGTGAAAGCTTGTTAATGTGGTGCGTGTGTGTCAGGGAGCTCACAAGGCGTAGTGACCACAGCTCAATAACCTTCAGTTTGACTTGGGAAACAGCATCAGCCCCAAACCAAACTCTGGTCACAGCTTTAGACAAGTAAATGTCTGGGGTGTGAGGGTTGAGCTATGAGACATAGATTGGGAGGCATTACTCAAGGACAAACCAGTTGAGGAAAATGGACATCCTTGAAGAACTTTGTATAGGGTGACCAAAAACTAGTGATACCATTACAATGTCTAATAAGTCTTAAAGAAATTATGATTTGTTTTTAGATAACAGGGTAGCTGGAAAATAAGACTTTTTTGGTCACCCTGTATATACTTAAGTGCAGCAATGGCAAAATAAATAAAAACACCAAAATGGATCAATAGGAAAATAAAAAATGGAGATAAAGGAGAAGAGGAATATTCATGAAGCTCGTCGGGAGACAGAAGAGGGTGATCATTGGGCTGAATGCAAGATTGTACAGAAGGAGGTTAATAAAGAGATGAGGGAATTATATAAACTCAGGTTCTTCAGTCTTATGAGAAGATAACTCAGAGAGGACCTCAAAGAAGTGTATGACATTTTAAGTAGGAGTGAAAAGATAAACCCAGGTCAATACTTTAGGATGCAACAAGACAACGGAACAAGAGGTCGCAGGTTTAGAGTTGTATAGAGCAATTTCGGCACAGACACCAGGAAAGTTTTTCTTTACGCAGAGGGTAATCAATGACTGGAACTGGTTGTCAGAAAAGATGGTTGAGGCCAGGACACTGGACTCACTTAAAAAGCAGCTTAATGTAGTGATGAGGAGGGGGTGGGGAAGGATGAGATCAGATGGGCTTGAGGGCCTTCTTCATCTAGATCAATCTTGTGATGTGTGAGCCTTATTAGTCCCAGTACTAAGTGAGCGCACCTCAGTGTCAGAGGCTTTGCCTTTCTGTTTGCAGTTCACATTCTCCCCAGAGAGGAGGAGTTGGTGTTGGAGGACCTGGAAGACGGGCACTCTGACTGGGATGACAATGTTCCTCACCAAGATGCTGCAACACAAACAAGCGAGTGCGAGGTGGTCGACCAGGCCACATCTCCAGACTTTGGGACTGAGGTGACAAGAGTGGTGCAGAGGTAGAGCTCACTTTATGACTTTGATCTGGATTGGGTGACTGCAGTATTCGTTGCGTATTATAATATAGACTGAAAGCAAAGATGGTGTCACACACACACACCCACAGCACATTGCGGATATTGGACAGAGGTAGCCATGTAACGTGGCTTAACATCTCATGCACAATGGCTTCAATTCATTATCATCCGGCTGTAGTTTAGTGGTTAGAGCACTCGCCTCGTAAGCGAGAGAACCTGGGTTTGATTCCCGGGCAGGGTGAAACGTTGAGCAAGTTTCCTTACTCCACACACGCCTCTGTTTACCTTGCGGTAAGTAGGAACCCGGTTGTTAGTTGATTGGCGGATCACTTTTCTGGGGGTAATAATACCTTGAAATAATAATAATAATTTGATCATTCAATCCACAACTATTTGTGGGACAATGCTGTGTGCAATTGGCTGCCACATTTCACCCAATAAAATATACAATCAATTCACTTTGAGGTATATTCTATGAAGCACTTTGAGACGTCTCAAAGACGTGATAAGGCACTATATCAAATGCAAGGATTATTATTATTCTAATCCTTGTCACTACTTCTTTACTGGTGGTTCATCAGCTTTAATGAATAAATTCACTGTATGAATCCAAGGAACCCATTGGGACTTTAAACCTCGCATGGCCTTTGAGCTAGCAGATGGTAGGTGGTGCTACACCGGGAGTAATGACTCGTCAAAGGAAAATCCTGGCTCCCAATGTTCTGATCTTCTTGTTCCAAGTAACTTACCCCTAACTTATGAAAGTGGAACACAGGTTCCCTTTCCCCCAAGTTTACAAATAATCTGATCCCATTAGCAGCTGTAATAGCATCAGTCTGTCTCAGTTGGTACCAATCTCATCTCTGAGGCAGAAGGTTGTGGGTTTAAATCCCACATCAGGATTTTGAACTCATAGTCTATGCTGACACTGGAAGATCCCACAGCACTATTCGAAAAGAGCAGGGAGTTTCCCCTCGTGTCCTGGCCAACAATAAAGTTGGTCGTTCACTTTACAGCTCTTTGTGAGAAATTACTCTGAGCAAATTGGCCGCTGTATTCGTCTACAAAATGCACAGTCTTCTCTTTCTCTTTGTTGCCATAGGGAAGAGGTGAAGAAAGAGGATGAAATAAAGTGAGCAGCTGATTGTGTTCCCTCCTGTGGAGCACATTGAAATTATGTCCTGCCCATGTCGTCAGGCTGTGTGTGTGTATATATAATCCTCTGTGTATGTCACGCTTTGTGTGTTCATATATAATGCTCTGTATATGTCAGGCGGTGTGTGTATATATAATGCTCTGTGTATGTCAGGCTGTATGTGTCTATGTGTGTGCTTGTGTGTGTGTGAGAGAGTGTGTACCCATATGTAAGTGTGCTGTGTGTGTGGAGGGCAGTGTACTCTGTTCACCAATAACTGTGTGTGTTTCCTGTCTCAATGCTGCCACTCTGTGGAAACCAAAGGGAAGAGATGGTGGAAGACAAAGCGGAGAAGTGAGTACAGTATTGGGAGCAACCTGATGTACATATAGAAACGAGTGTGTGTCTGTGTGGGGCGGGTAGCGACTGCGTGCCAGGCCGCGACTTTGTGCCTGTGTGTAACAGGCAGTGAGTGTGTGCTGTATGTGCCAGGCAGTGAGTGTGTGCTGTGTGTGCCTGTGTGTCAGGCAGTGAGTGTGTGCTGTGTGTGCCTGGGTGTGCCAGGCAGTGAGTGTGTGCTGTTATGTGCCATCAGTGAGTGTGTGCTGTGTGTGCCTGGGTGTGCCAGGCAGTGAGTGGGTGCTATGTGTGCCAGGCAGTGAGTGTGTGCTGCATGTGCCAGGCAGCGAGTGTGTGCTGTATGTGCCAGGCAGTGAGTGTGTGCTGAGTGTGCCTGTGTGTGCCAGGCAATAAGATTGTGACCGTGTGCGCCGTGCAGTGAGTGTGTGCTTACAGAGACTGTAAGCTCAGATCCTAACATGGGTCTTGAACCCACAACCTTCTGACTCAGAGTTGAGAGCATTACTGACCGAGCCAGGCTGACACCTTAATAGCAATCGAATACAACTTGTGCTGCTGTTGATCGTGCAAAACAAGTCAGCTTCTCCACTGATTAAAAATACCTTCAAGAATGTTCAATAACATCAGTGGAAGGAGCTCAGACTAATGTGACTTGTTATTTGTGCAGGCAACTCTGGCATATTCTGGAGGATCAGGAGGTGGATGCAGAGTAAGTGTGTCTGTTCCGGTGATGAGTTCACAGGGAGATCTGGAGGTCGGGAGCTCCTCACACCCGGGCCCGTCTGATTCATTGTGTGAAGCTCTGGCACTGTTGGTGGAAGCCTGCCGACACTCATTAACGACTGAAAGAGACGTAGCCTCTCCCGACACCACTACCCGCTGCCTCTACTCAACTGGCTCCGGTCTCCACCTTGTCCCCCCGGACCCTCCACCCCACCATCGGCGGCCGTGCTTTCAGCCACCAAGTCCTGAAGCTGTGGAGCTCTCTCCCTCTGTCCCTTCACCTCGTCCACTTTCTCCCCATTTTCAGGTCGCGCTTGAAGATCTTACTCTTCGTTCCTGTCTACGGTCACCTTCCCCCTCCTGCTGGCTCGGCATCAGGCTCCACCACTGTTAAGCGCTCCAAGACACCGTCTGGCGTGAATTGCGCTGTATAAATGCAAGTTGTTATTGTTGTAGCCAGGAAGGATGGTTGAGGCCAGTTCACTGGACTCATTAAAAGAACAGCTTGATAAAGACAGTATGGTGGGTATTCTCGAGGGAGGAGATCAAAGGATCTTCTTCATCCAAACCAGTCTCATGAAGTTAATTGAGCTCCTTTATTTCTCCCCACCCACTCCCCATTTCTCTGTTGGCTGCATTTTTAATCCATTTTTCTGAAACTTGTGTAAAATGGTGACAAGAACGCCATCCAAATGCATCCCAATGCCCGCCCTGTTATGTTCTGCTTGGTATTAAGTCAGTAGCAAGTTCTAATGTGCGGTATTTCTTAACAGATTGGCAAAGGTCTGTGGAGAAGCTGAGAACAGTGAAGATTCAGCCTGTGCAGAGTAAGTCCTTAGTGTCCCAGTAGAACAGTAAGTGTAGGCAGACCCTTAACTGAAGTTGCTCACGCCTAGTTTCGTATGGGCTCGTCTGAAGAAAGCAGTGAAGCAACTTATATGGTCATTGAGGCCCCCAATGTCCTATGTCCTCATTAGGCACAGACCTGATCTGGGATACAAATATCCTGCACAGAGGGGAGAGGTCATTAATAGTTAATATTTTTTATATTAATATTAATACATATTAATAGTTAATATCTTTAATATTAATATTAATAAATAAGCCAATAATAGTCTCAAACAGTGCTTCTGATGTTTCATTCACAAGGCAAGGGCACTGTTATTACAAAGGGAAGGGTACAGGTGATCTGGAGGGAATGGTGTCCATCATTGATTCCTTCTCACAGCAAGCTCTGTAATAAAATCAGAAGTCACCTGGAACACTCAGCAGGTCAGGCAGCATCTATGGAGAGAAGAGAGTGAGTTAACATTTCAGGTCTATGATCTTTCATCAGAAAGGTTATTGTATGTGTATGTATGTCTTTATGTGCGTTTGTGTGAGACAGACTGTGCAGTCTGAGCGTGTGTGTGTCTGTGTATGTGTGTGTGTATAAAACATTCAGTGTGTGAATGGATTCAGGCATAATTGGAGTATTTGGAGCCCCGAGGTTCCACCCCGTGCAGAGTAAGTCCATCAGCCCCACACCACCGAGAAGGAGATGACTAGCCCCCAAACTGAAATGATCCACTTCCTCTTACTTTCTCTGTTTCTCTCTTGTGAAGTCAAGCAATTTAGAAAGTGGGTAATGGGGGCATTAGAGAGCAGGAGACACTGGGCATCCCATAGATTTTATTTTGGTCAGCCAGGTGTCTGACACGTACTGAAACCCATCACCATGCTTAAGAGTATCCAAACCAAACTGAGATTTCCATGGCATCCCATCTACACGTGGAAATCCCAGAGATACATTGTTGGAATGGAATACGAACTCTTTCCCTGGAGAGACACATCCTGCTTAACTAATTCCAGAAAGTATTAGGCGCAGGTTGGTAGGAGCCAAAGCTTAGGGACCCCAGAGTGTGCGTCCGTTGGGGTAACTGCTGGAGTTTAACCAGCTAAAACTATAGCTTGCTGTTGGTATCACTGTCTGGCGGGGTGAGGGGGTTAGGGCAATGGGATCCCATAGAAAAGGGCACAGAGCTCAGGTGCTGATTTATCACACACAGGGCAAATAACACAAGTATTTGGCAATTTGCCTCCAATCTATCAGATTTTATTATAACTCATTTGTGCCTTTAAATTATATTTCTCTGTTTGTCTGAAGACTGAAAGTGTGTGAAGAAACAAAGAGCAGCGAGGATCTACCATCTGTAGAGTGAGTCCTTCAGCTGTGTGTGTGTGAGAGAAGAAATGAGAGAATGCGAGTGTTGAGAAGTCAGAGTGAGAGAGCGAAAAGAGTGAGTGAAGGGGAGAGCGCGTGAGGGAGAGAGAGTGAAATACAGCACGCACATGACGAAGGAGAGAGAGAGAGAGAAGCGACTATTATTGAGAATGTTAATAATAATAATCCTTGCACCTTGTTGATAGGCCTCAAGGCGCGTCACAGAATATATTGTAAAGAGGATTGACTGAGTATTTTCTGGGCGAAATGGGATAATTTGACAACGTGAAGACAAGAGTGAATAATAATAATAATCCTTGCACTTGATAAGTCGTCTTATCACGTCTTCGAGACGTCTCAAAGCTCTTCACGGAATATACTATTGGGAGAGAGGAGGTTAGAGAGATAGGGGGGTGCCAAGGAATGGAGGGATTTAAACACTCGAGTACAGTCCTGCTGGCCGTTCGGTTTGGGAACTTTTCCGAGTCATACGCGGTTATCCCGTTAGGACAAACACTGTCCAAACCCCTTTATCCAGTACTGTTTGGCAACCCAAATTTTGACCTCAATAGCGAGGAATATCCACTGTCTCTGGAGCGACTTTCTCCCACTTCACACTGTAAAGGTACATCGAAGAGCTCAAGAATTAGAGGGAAGCATATTATAGATCTCAATGTGTATCTCGATACAGTCGGTGGGTGAGTGTACGTGTAGATACAGACTGTAGGTGTGTGTCTGTCAGGTGGATGTCACAGACCCCACTGCACTATTCAAAAAGAGAAGGTAGTTTTTTCATTGTGTCCTGGCCAACAATCCCCCAGATAAGGTAAGTCATTCCCTTCATGGCTAATCGTGGATCATTGTTATGTGCAAATGTGCTGCTGCATTCACCTATAAATACATAGTAAATCCTTTGAACCGCCTTGAGAAGTTTTGCTGATGGGCACGATATCAAATACAAAAATTATTATTATTTTATAGATACAGACTTGAGTATTTGTGTGAGTGTGTGGATAGAGACTGTGTGTGTGTGTGGATAAGGACTGTGTGTGTGTATAGATATAGAGTATGTGTGTGTGAATAGATACAGACTGAATATTTCACACGCTGTTAGAATCTGTGTGTGTGTAAGTACAGGAGAGTAGCAATGCTGAATAATATTTCATATTGTGTGTCAGGCTAGAGCAGGCGTGTGAAGAAGCCAAGAGCTGTGAGGATATATCACCTTCAGAGTGGGTCCTTTAACTTTCTTCCTGAGGGAGGCATTGAGGAGGCATCTTCATACCGTGAAGATGAGAAGATGAGAGGGGAGAGGGTGGCTGATACCCAGAGGGGAATGATTTGGAATTCCAATGACGCAGTGTATAATAATAATAATAATAATAATAATCCTTGCATTTGATATAGCGCTTTTCACGTCGGGAGGACGTCCCAAAGCGCTTCACAGAACACACTGTAAAGTTTGGGACGTGACATGTACATACGGCTGCCAGTTTGGTGCAAGACAAACTGGATGGACCTTGGTCTTCTTCCATCCAGGCTATTCTGTAACTGATTTGAAATCAATAAAATGCATTGCAAAGGCGCATTTCTTTTTTATCCGACTTGACATGGAGAAGATATTCTTTAGAGCACAGTGATGTGTGTTTACTGTGCACATTCTGAAGTAACCACCCAGTGTGTATCTGTGTATTTACGCATCGGCTGGAAAGACCGTGAAATGCGAATGGAGAGACACTGTATCTGCCACTGTTAAGATCTCCGAGACTCTGTCCCGCATGAACGGCCCCTCTGTAAACGCAAGTAGTCGCATGTATAAAGTCCTGATGAACCTGGTTTTACAATAACAACATGCAGGTTACCTCCCATCTCCTTCTCAATCTTTTTTTTCTCTGGCGACACGCTGTGGCTTAGCAACGAGCAGCTCAATCGCTTCAGATCTCTTAGCAACTGGAGCGCGGACGGAGCTGTTCCAAAGCTGCGATGCTGATGCTCCTGAGAGAGGCGAGCGAGGCTGACTCCGCAAAACCCGCCCCAATAATAACGGGAATTGCACACGGGCAGACGCTGCGTCAGAGAGAAGCATAGCCTGTCAGTTGAGCAGAGGCAAATGCAAAGATAATACACATAAAGGGGAGAGCTCAGAGTGAGGGGAGCTTTGCCGGAGCAGAACGCTTAGACACCACCTTCTTTGAAAAAGGATTTCATTTATTTTGCGCGGTGCAGAGCAGCGTGTTAGTTCACGGTGCAATGCACCGTTTCTGATTTGTTTTTCTTGTGTATTTTTATTTTTGCAGTGACCTGCCCGTTGTCTGCTCAGAGGAGAGCGCTGTGCAGCGGAGACTGCCCCTGAGAGCTCAGCGCCAGGCAAAGAGAGCAGAGACTCCGGCGATCCCAGCCTTCAAACACAGGTGAAGGGAACGCCCTGCAAAGCACGGGCATCAAGTCGCTGAATCGTATCATTACTTTGGAACTCTCTCCCTCAATCCCTCCACCTCGCCCCTTCCTTTCCGTCTTTTAGATCACGACTGAAGACCTTCCTCTCCGACCGTGATCACGGTCACCTCCACCCTCCACCCCAGCTCGACTTCGGGCTCCGCCACTGTTAAGCGCTCCAAGACCCTGTCCCCTGTGAAGGGCGCTGTATCAATGCAAGTTGTTGTTGTTGCTGTCGTTACGGCTAGAAGGGCTTTACTGCCTTTGCTCGTTTACAGAGGTGTAAGAATCAGAATAGCCATTGTCATAGAAACCACACAGGGATCCAACACAACAACAACTTGTATTTACTTGTATGTGCCTTTCACATAGCACAGGGACGTCGCTAGGGATGGAAGATTGGGGGGGCTGGAGGTCAGGGTTTTGCTCCATCCCTGCTGCCTCCTCCCAACATGGCTCTGGTTGGCAGATTGGGTTATATATTGAATCATAATAATAATAATCCTTGCATTTGATATAGCACCTTATCAATCGTTGAGATGTCGCAAAGTGCTTCATAGGATACACTGTACAGCGGATTAACTGTGTGTTTTGTGGGAGAAATAAAGCAGCAAGGTCTCCTCCTGTTCCTGTGTTTCTATGTTCGTGTGCGTTACATACTATATTTTAAGACTTGTACTTTTTCAATGAAGGAAGAAGCGATTGCAGAGACTGATGTTGACCAAGAAGGTAAGGACTCAACAGTTGTTGGTGATTGAGATGTTTTTCTTACCGTTAAGTGCGGGGGCTTTGACAGTAGTCATTGCATTTGGCTGCAAAAGCAATTTGACTCCAGTTGTTTTCACAGGGTTACTCTCGGTTCAGGGCACTGTGTCATCCCAACTTGAGGACTTAAAACAATATCTGCATTCGAGTTGACTCCCAAAGTTATACAGAAATGTGATCAGTTTCTACTGATTTTCCAGGGTCTTAGTGAAAGTTTAGAAATAGGTCAGAGATTGTACATTACAAAATTGGTGAAACTAGTCCAATCTGATGGAATATTTAAATTCCAAATAACATTGAATACAATATATTGTTTTATTTATTCAGCACCAATAAGTAGAGGTGTATAATGCAGAGGGGATTTGCCCCATCGGCTCTCTGCTGGTGTAAGATCCTGTATTGACTTTACATCCCTCCCTTATCCAAATTCAACCCCCTCTTCCAACCCCCTCCAGAATAATTGGCTTCTCATCTCATTGCTCTTTGTGTGACGTTGCTGGTATAATTTGACAGCCACACTCACTCACAGAACTTTCACAGCAACTCTAAGTTGTTGACAGGCACTACCCACCTCATTAAGAATCAGCTACACAATTTATACCAGACGCCCATACACACTGTAGAGTTCAACATTGATTTCATTTTGTAAATTATTTTGAGACATTCTTTTACGTGAAAGCTCTGAGTCTGAGATGCACTGGATTATGTGTAACATAGTCTGTCTCGACTCCAATGTTTAGTGCACTTTGAGATAAACTGTATTACAATCTATCAAAGAGATATAATGTGTAGCTTGACTGAAAAACACTGTAATGTCTTTTCTTGGTCAGCCAAGTGTCTGACACATGCGGAAATCCATCACCGTGCTTAACAGTATCCAAACCAAAATGAGATTTCCATGTATCCCACCTACACATGGAAACCCCAGAGATACATTGTTGGATTGGAACACGCACTTTCTCCCTGGAGGGACACATCCTGCTTACCTAATTCTCAAAAATATTAAGGCGCAGGTTGGCAAGAGCCAAGGCTTGGGGAACCCAGAGTGTATGTTGGGGTTACTGCAGGAGGCTAACCAGCTAAAACTCTGTAATGGGCAATAGTCTAGTGAGGTTGTCTAGTGTATAATTCAATCCGTGCTGAGCTATATAACGCTGTACAGCCACAAAGCACTGCAGAGTATCCCTGAGCACAATACTTAAACATGCTTTTACTTTTTAGTTACAGATGCTCAGTGCTGAGTCAGTCACCTTGCTGCTCAAGCCTTTTCCTGGAAGTGCCTAGATACCTGCCGTCATGCCTAAGCGAAGCAAAGACTTAGAGTTAGCTCACCTTGTCCGTGACATGCCTCTGAGTCTCCGAAGTCCCACTCCTACTTCCCAGTGTGCTTTAGAGTTACCCAATGTCCCCAGCTATCGCCCTCCCACTGCCCGGCTGCCTCCCATTAGCCGTAGGAAGCAAAGGTTTGGGGTCACCAACCCCAACTTCTTGGCCGAGGAATGGTCTCCGTCACATTGTATAGGTGAACATATAACATGCCCCATGTTTGGTTCTGAGTTTCAGTTTGGTGTTTTTGCATGTCAGCATATTCAATGGTACATGTGTGTCTGTGTGCATGTCCTTGTCTGTGTGCATGTCCATATCTGTGTGCATGTCCATATCTGTGTGCATGCATGTCTCTGTGCGTATATAAGTGCTGAGTTCGTAAATTTAATCCTTTGTACACGTGATCTGGTTGGGTTACAGTTGTTTCCACTTACAGTCCTATAATCATTTTCAGCTGTATCCAGCAGTGGTCCTGAACTCATCTCTTTAATTTGCATTCAGTTTTCCCCTCAGCTCTAACAGCAATCCAGCTACAGTGACTCCAAACCCACTTCTTAGAATCATAGAATGATACAATTTTACAGCACAAGAGGAGGCCATTCGGCCCATCGTGTCTATACCGGCTCTTTGAAAGAGCTACCAATTAGTCCCACTCAACCGCTCTTTCCCCATAGCTTTGCAATTGTAGTACCTCGTACCTATCCAATTCCCTTTTGAAAGTTATTGAATCTGCTTCCAACCACCCTTTCAGGCAGTGCATTCCAGATCATAACAATTTGCTGCGTGAAAAAAAATTCTCTTCATCTCCCCTCTTGTTCTTTTGCCAATTAACTTAAATCTGTGTCCTCTGGTTACCAACCCACCTGCCTGTGTAAACAGTTTTTCCTTATTTACTCTAACAAAACCCCGGATAATTTTGAACACCTCTATTAAAAATCTCCCCTTAACCTTCTCTTTATTAAAGATAATGATCCCAGCTTCTCCGGTCTCTCCACGTAACTAAAGTTATTCATCTTGAAGTGTTGAACTATTTCACGTTACATACAATGCAATTTGTGGAGCGATAAAGAAAATAGCAAATTAACATTTCTAAACTGTCTAGCTGAAGGCTGAGATACAAGTCAGAAATAGAATCCTGGTCTTATTTTTGACACCTCCAACTTTCTAATGTTTCAAATATAGCCCTGTCACAAAAACACTTCTGTATGGCTTCATGGTAGGAGAGGCTTATGTGGATATAACCAGTTGAGAAATGGGGTTTGTATTTATGTAGACGTAGGTACCTTTATATTGTTATTCCAGGCACCCGACTCTGCTCTGATGCTCGACCTCTCTATATTTATTATATATATGTTATACTGCCACCTCTATACCCAAGTTATTCTCCCTGGCACTAGGATTAAGTTATTCCATGTCTACTCCACTCTGGCTGGACCCAGGCTGATCTGTTTAGTACTTATTTACCTCATATGTGCTCCATAACTAGGCCAGCGTTGTGTGTGTGTATGTGTGTGAGTGCGTGAGGTGTATGTGTGTGCATGTGTGTTGTGTATAAGCTCAGCAGTATCTATTGGTTATATAAACAGTGCAGCTCTTTCCTCCTCCTTGCAAGGCAGTAGCTCTTTACTCACTCCACGTAGTCTTTCACTCAAATCCACTGCATTTGGGGCCGGATGTGCAGACTAAATTGTCACAGAGAAATGTGATAGCCTGTCTTGAATAGAGGCAACACTACCTGGACTCAGAGTATTCTGTAATCTCAAATGTTTTGCATTGGAACAAGTTGCCTGGAAGGATGGTTGACACTGGACCCACTGAATTGGTTGGGTTCTCAGTAAAAATGCTAAGTAAGAACTTTCAAAATTAGAGCTCGGCCCGTTTAGGAATGAAATCAGGAAGCATTTTCCCACGCAAAAGGGTAGGAAATCTGGAACTCTCTTTTCCAAAAGGCTGTGGACGTTGGATCCATTCAAATTTTCAAGACTGAGGTGGATATTTTTGTGAGGTGAGGGTATCAAAGGATTTGGAGCAAAAGCGAGTAAAGCAAAAGTGAGGTACAGATCAGCCAGTAGAATGGAGGAACACGCTTGAGGGGCTGAATGGCCTACTTCTGTTCCTGTGTTCCCATGTTCACCTCTCCAATGTTACTCTCGGTTGACACAATGCTATCTGCTGGATACAGTTTATGTGATAAACCAAAGCACTGTTATGTACGAGCTGACCTGAAACAAGCACATAGCACGCCGGGAAGGGGAAGAAATGCTCAGAATTGAAGCAAGTATCTGGCTGATATTTGGGGTGAGTGCAAGTCCAGGCTTCTGTCCCTGTCTGATTCCATCTCTGCACATTACTAGGTCCTCGAGTCACTAAACATCCCTCAGTGAACATCGAAGATGTAGATTCTGAGCCAGATGCCTTGCTCGCTGGGCACAGCAAGTTGCCATCTATTCTAACACCTTCAATAGACAAGAATGAGACCCTCGCAGTACCTGACACCAGAAGGTATGACAGCTGCTTACGCTCTGGGACGCTACCCTGTGTGAGGAGCGCTATATGCAAGTTGTTGTTGTTGTTATTGTGAACGCACTGAATCAGAAATTCTGAGATTTGATGTTTCAGAAACTCAATAATTTCTTTTTCCACAAGAAATTGCAAAAAATCTCTCTGACGAAGAGACAAGGGTGTTGCCTTGGGTCTCTGATGTTTGATTACCTTTTATTGGACAGAAAGAAGGATTTTGACGAAGGAGACGACCAGGATGAACCCTTTGCGCCATCTCCATTCATTGAAACCCCTGTCCATGCCTGGGAAAGCCAAAGCACCCTCCAGGTGGAAAGGTCAGTAAAACTAATTTTGTTGTCAGTTTTTGAATAACCTCGGTTTTCAATAATACTGTTTCTCCGCATTAGGTGTTTCTAACTTCATTTTTCCTCTTCACAGTAAATTGTGCTGTTTTGGTCTCGATCCTGACCCAACGCCTTTGTACCAGAAAGATGTCAGATGATAATAATATAATAATAATCCTTGCACGTGATATAGCGCCTCATCATGTTTGTTGCGACGTCTCAAAGAGCTTCGTAGAATATACTGAGTTGACTGTATATTTTGTGGAAACGCGGCAGCCAATTGCGCACAACTGGTGTCCCACAAACTGACTGTAGCTGAAGTTGGGGTCATATTGATCATGCATTTGTAAATAGAAAGTTATAGATGACAAGAGTCGAAGACTGAAACTGAATTGGTTTGCAATTCCTGTTATCCCATCAAACCATGTTAAATATTCCTGTTATCCCAACAAACCATATTAAATATTGCGACCAATAGTAATATTCTGTTTTGTTACTGTTACGTCACCAATCCCAACGAGTTATATTTCAACCTGTTGCTCATTGAACCAGTCACATTTTGTCATTCAGAACTCTGCAGCTCGTGTACTGTCCCGCACCAGGCTTCGGGACCACATCACTCCCACCCTCGCTCGCCTCCACTGCTCCCCATCCCCCAGAGGATTGATTTCAAGATCCTCATCCTCACCTACAAGGCCATTCACGGCCTTGCTCCCTCCTACCTCTCCGACCTACTATCCCCTTACCTACCTGCCCGTACCCTCCGTTCCTCTGGCTCCGGTCTGCTCCACGTCCCCCGCCCCAACCGCCCTACCATCGGTGGTCGGGCCTTCAGCCTCTCAGCCCCCAGGCTCTGGAACTCCATCCCCCAGTGCCTTCGCCGCTTCCTCCCTTTCCTCCTTCAAGGCCGGTCTCAAAACCTTTCTCTTTGACCGTGCCTTCAGCTCCCCTCTCGACTCTCTTCCCCCTCCTCGCTCCCTCCCTTCCCTCCCCTTACCCTGACCATTTCCCCCCTCCTCGCTCCCTCCCTTCCCTCCTCTCACCCTGACCATTTCCCCCCTGCTCGGGTCATGACCCAACTGTGCAGCGCCTTGGGACGTCCTCCTGACGTGAAAGGCGCTTTATAAATGGAATCTTGTTGTTGTTGTTGTTGTTGTCCAGTCGCAGAGAGCAAATGGGTTCTACGTCAAGTATAAGTAGCGCAATTATCAACGAGCGTCTCCAGGACCTGGTGAAGCTCTTCAAAGAGCGAACAGAACGAGTCAAGGAAAGATTAATCGACCCTGATTCAAGTTCAGATGATGAAACTCCAGGCGGATGTAAGTAAAGAGGACAAAAGACATCAATGGTGGGGATTGAAGCGGGAAACAGGATATGTCAGTAAACAATACTGAAACTAAACACTAGTATAAGAGTTAGTCTGACTGAACGTTGTGAGATATTACGAGAACACAATCTGGTGCTAACAGGTTCACAAGATCATTAGAGTGATTTGGATGAAGTCCCTTCGGCCCATCCCATCTCACCTTTCCAGAACTCCCACCCTACCGTTCCCCCATGACAGGACCCTTAACCACCTTCGAGACTACTGAGACCACCACAGAGGGATGACTTGATTCCAACATTCTGGAGCCAAGCACATCACGTTGGAGCCAGCTCAGCCCCAAGGAGACCCCATCCCAGAACAACAACAACTCAGCATGAAATATGCAAGTGCATTCCCACCATCCTAATGCCCACAACTCAAGCCACATCCCTAACTGGTGGAACGAAGATTAGGTTCAACCTCCACACAGTTTGATGTGTGGAGGTTTAGCAGCAGCTGCTTATCTCCCTGCATCCAATCAAGTTTACAATTGCAAATAACTATTTAACATTTATACTGAGATTTTAGTTGACTTACACCTTTGTTTGGCAAAATATTGCCATATCATGTTGTCAAGACGTCTCAAAACGCTTCTCTGGATATACTATAAAGTGGATTGACTGTGTTTTGTGGGTGAAACAGCTATATATGTACAGCCTTACAATTATGAGCAGAAATCATACTTTACTTTACATCAGTGAAGTCAAAGATTAGTATTCATACACTTAATAATACATAATAATCCTTACATTTGATATAGCGCCTTTTATGTTGGAAAGACATATTCAAGGGTTTAACATGAATAACTGTGAAATGGATAGACTGTGTATTTTGTGGGTGAAACTCGGCAGCCAATTGCGCACAGCAACGTCCCACAAACAGTCATTGAGTGAGTGGCCAATTTTATTTGAGGGAATGTTGGCCAGGACACTGGGAGAAACTCCCTTCTCTTTTCGAATAGCGCCATGGGGAACTTTAACATCCACCTGAACAGGAAGACAGGACCTTGATTTAACGTATCATCCAAGGGACGGACGGGTTCAAGAGACAAAAACGTTAACACGAACAGCCTTGCGAGTAAACCTAATGGCTTGTTTGTTGTTTGTTTTCTAACCACAGCGCCAGTGAAGAAGACAGGGGTCCCACCCCCACTCCCAGAGGAACAAAAGGCACCAGAGGAGGAGGAAGATATCGAGGAACATTACTATGAGATGTTGTGCTGCCAGTTCAAATCCACACCGTGGCTCAGACGCATCATAAAGTGGAGGTTTCCAAAGAGCCTCGATCCCTTCAGCAGTAGGTTTCTATGAGACTGTATTTGAAAGCAAATCTGTTTATGTTTGAAGCTGATCGGGTTGGTCTGAGAATAACTTGGTCAACCAACATTTCATCCAAAAAAGGTCAACCACAACCAGTTTGACCGGTAACTAGTCAGAAGGATTCGTGTTTGAGCAGGAACTGGCGAGCAGGAGCCTGTCTGAGGAAGAAGTAATTATCAAGGTCTCGCTTGAACGACATTGATCAATAGGGACCTGTTTGAGACAGTTAGTCAAAAGGTGTTAGTCTATTCTGTAAGTGAACTGACCAATAGTCAATTAACTGGGCACAGTCTGATTCACAACGCGTCAACAGGATGTCATCTGAATTGGAACTAGTCAGAATTATTACACAGATCTTGTCTGAGCACTAACTCGGCAAAATAACTAGTCTGACCTGTAACCAGTAAAGCAAATCTAGTTTGAACAGTACTTCTTAGCAATAACTAGTTACCAGGCACAACTGGAAGAACGAACTAGTTGACAACACTGATCAACAACATCTAATCTAAAAGTAACTAGTTAAAGAGAACAATTTTGAGGAGTAACATGTCTAATTTTTTTTAGAGCAGATAGTACAGTAATCACTAGGATTTAGCCCGAGCAATATTACAGGAGTGAAATGGACAATGTGTTCAACAAGAACCAAATCTGAGAGACAGCACAATACACAGACCCATGTCCTTTCTCAGTTTTTACCATCTTCCCTTTGTATAATTGTAACAAGAGTGATTTTGTGGCATGTCGAGATGGGAAAAGTGGTGTTATCTTGTGACTTGGATCAAATAAAGTTATATTCCTGTTTTTGCTGTGGTTTCAGCAGATTCAAATACGTATCACTAGCTGTTCTCAAGCAGGTTGTGAATCTGAGGGGGCAGGGAGAGAGGTAAGCGGGGTCTCCTTGGAGCTGAACTGGCTTCTGGGTGACATGCTTGGTAACAGAATCAAGCCGGCCCTCGGCTTGTGGCGGTCTCGGTAGTCTGGTTCCTGAGCCAGGAATCAGTTACTTGTGAATCAGTGGCTGGGTTGTGCAATGAGGGTGCACACTGTCCTTTCACTTCTGTGACCTGGGGTTTGAATGTAGCCCAAGCTAATCTCCTCTCTAGGAATGAGTATTGTACAGTTTCTCCCCGGTTTCTATTTTGCACATGTTTGCAACAAAAAACTCCTAACGTTTGACTCAAATTGGCATCAACTTTGCACCTTTGGTCAAAGAGGCCACAAAAGTGGCTGCTGTGGGAGACTGAAGTGTTGAACTTGCAGAAGTACTCTCCTGAGCTTACTCGTAACGTATCTGCTTTGCAATTCTTGAAAGCTCAATGTTGAGGGAGTTTTATGCTGCATTTGACCTGAGCTGTACCCAACCCGGGAGTGCTTGATGAGGCAGTGTAGCGGGACGCGTGTGCTATAACTGTTCTGGGAGTGCTTGAAGTTGATATCGAATGGAAAGTGTGGAAAAGATTTCCTGACATTTCTTTCCTTGGTGGACATGAAATTCCCCCACCCACTCCTTCCCCCTCCATAAAAAAAATCCGAACATTGTGATCTAGATTGGGGTGAGATACCTGGAGGATCTTATTAAATCTGCAGTTTCATTGGCACATGACTGATACTGTCAGTGTCACATTCACTTTCCATCAAAACATCACTACATCATTTCTAACAATAACAACAAAAAAATTACATTCGTGTAGCGAGTTTCACGTCGGAGGACATAAGGCTTTTCCATCACGGGATCCGTACCTTGGCAGTACTTACCTGGACTTGCTAAATGCCCAGACTGCTTTTGGTTTAGTTTTTTGTTTCTTTTCTTTCAACTTATAGTTGTCTTTTCAGGAACAGTTTTCCTTCACAATTAAGTATATCCCTGGTAACATCCCTCTGTCTACATCTTTAGCCACATATAAAGTCCTAACATTCGTATGCTGTGTAGAATATCATTGCTTGTTGATCCCGCTCCTACTCTGTGAGGTGTATAATGTTATATAAACATAATAATAATCTTTGCATTTGATATAGCGCTTTATCAGGTCTTCGGGACATCTCAAAGCGCTTCACAGAATGTACTGTAAAGTGAATTGACTGTATATTTTGTAGGTGAAACGTTGATCTGCTGTGCCTCTTAGTTACTCTCTTCCTTTATGTGGGCAAGTGATCGATGGGCAGATGCCTCAATAATAATAATAATAATAATCCTTGCATTTGATATAGCGCTTTTCATATCTTTTAGATGTCCCAAAGCGCTTCACAGAATATGCTGTAAAGTGAATTGACCATATATTTCTGGGCGAAACGCAGCAGCTAATTGCGCACAGCAGTGTCCCACAAACAGTTGTGGAATGAAAATGTCCAACTTATTATTGTTTTGTTTTTTGGAGGGACTATTATCAGGTGTGTGCAGTAAGGAAACTTGCCCAAGGTTTCGCCCTGCCGGGAATTGAACCCAGGTGTCTCGCTTGCAAGGCGAGTGCTCTAACCACTAAGCTACAGGACTCCATGATGTATATTTGCAAAGCTGTACTGAAATGTGTGCCCTTGTTTTTCATCTTGTTAATTCTAATTTTATCTTGTATTTTGTGGATTTGCTCCTTGAGATCCTTGTCACTGGAGGCCGAGGTATTTCTGATCTTGAATCTCCTGTTGTAGGAGTATCAGCGGAAAAAGGATTGGGATGGGGGCGTCACATCAACACCATGTTGTGGGTTGTGTTGATGATGGATTTACTGGTGGCGCTTTCTAATGCTGGCGTCAAGTAAAAAAATCTTTAGACTATCTCAGTCGGAGAGTTCAGCATTTCTACGTGTCCTGTAATGAGCAAACATTGATATTGATATAAGATTGCATCAGCAGCCCCCTGTGTGAGTAATCTCATAATGGACTGAACTATAGACAGTCCAGGACATCAAACATCTCAAGGATGGCCCCTTGAAGATCCTCCTGCATGTGACCTAGAGAATGCAATAAGCTTTATTGTGCAATCTTGCATCTCGTGTGAGCTGCTGTTGCACTTATAACCTTCTGTTAAATGTGTTGCCACCATCCTCCATACCGATGTATGTGCCTTAAACTAAGCTTTTGACCTGCAATGGGTCCAGCCAATTTGCATTCCTCTCCTAGGACTGCTACGTCCTTTGTGTCAGGTAAGTGTTCACTTGGTGATAACGTGTTGCGTTGGTGCAAGTGTCAGATTTCCTGTGTGATACCTCGGTTAGTGGTACTCCTGGTAATGGTTGCTGTTAGTCATGGTGTTTTCGTTAGCACGATTGATGGCTGATGCTGTGCTGGTGATGCTGCTGGTAATCTCTCTTCATCCAAACTCATCCTTGGAGAGAAAACACCACCTTTATCAACATCAAATAGCATCGATATAAAGATGTATCTGTTTCCTAGCATTGTTTTTGCACCAATTAGTAAATACCATATGCATTTTGTATTGCAATAATGGTATTTGTGTAGAGCACTTTGATGCACAAAGTGTGGGAAGCTACTTGCCAGAATTACTTGACGAATATGCCACCTAAAGGTCTCAGAGAAGTCTTTTATCATCTCCGTGGAGAAGAGTTGGCTAACTCATGGCTTGCATATTGACTACCTGGGGTCCTCTTTGCTCTTCGTGGTTGTATTTGAATGGGATCTTCTCCTTTCTTCATAACAATGAACCAGCTTCTGAAGTCTGTGTTTCAAGAAACCTCGATCAAACTGTTCAGACACGGCTCAGGTTTCTCTACCTGCCTTAAGGTTTGATCCAAAAATGATCCAGTTTCTGCAATGATGAGGTCCAGCTCTGTCTGTGTAAACCTTGATTTGTCACCATTAGCATTTTCCTCTCAGTTCTGACATTCGGGGTTACAGCTAAGTAATTTATAGGGATCAAGTGCTTCGTTTCCAGTTTAGAAGAATATTTATCATTGAGTATTGTTGTTGTGCTGATCTTGGATGTGTTGGTATTAAAGCAACAGTAATCAATCTTGATTGGCTTCTATATTACCAATACAACAAGCCTCAACCCTGTTAATGTATTAGCCATTATAATGATTATAATGCATATTATGTAGCATTAATCTGTTTCTATTAGCTGTGTGGTGCAACAACCAGTGTTGATGTAGATATTTTGTTGTAGCATAATACACACTAATTTGTATCAATCACATTATTTAGCTGTGCTGTGTTATGTCCTGTAATCAACGTTGATTGACTTACTGTGTTAGCTATGCTGTATTACGTACTGATCCATTTACATGTAAACTCAGTGATTGCTGTCTCCCACAACAGACATGCTGTACGTGATATGGTTGTCCTGCGTGATGTTTGCCTGGAATTGGAACATCTGGCTGATCCCCGTGCGCTGCACCTTTCCTTATCAAACACCCAACAATGTGCATCTGTGGCTGATGATGGATTACTTCTGCGATCTGATCTACCTGCTCGATATGGCTGTGTTCCAATCACGGCTCCAGTTCGTAGAAGGAGGAGACATTATAGTGAGTAGTCATTTCGAGTTACACCTGAACAGAAGAGAAACATTTGCTCAGTTACCTTCAGTAGTGTGCAGTGTCCAGTGTTGGGCTTGAAGATTTAAAATCAATATTCTACCTGACATCCAAAGTTACCATCTGTAAATATGGAGCTAGGAGCTGCGTTAAGTTGTTCCATCAGAGGGATTGAAATGTCAGTTTGGCTCAGTGGTAGCCTTTGAGTCAGAAGGATGTGGTTTCAAGTCCCAACTCGTCTAAACTGATACTCCAGTGTGGTGGTTGGTGAGCACTGAATTGTCGGAGGTGCTGTCCTTCAGTTGAGACATTAAACCGAGCTCCCGTCTACCTGTTTGGGTAAACCTTAAAGATTCCATGGCACTCTTTATATATTGTAAAGTCAATTCACTTTACAGTATATCATGTGAAGCGCTTGGAGACGAGGCGTTCTATCAAATGCAACAATTATTATTATAACTATTCTCTCTCCCTGTGTCCTGGCCAACAATCCCTCAAATAAAATTGGTCACTCACTCCATGTTTTTTTGTGCACAACTATTTGTCATAAAATACAACAACACTTTACAGTATATCCTGTGAAGTGCTTTGAGACATCTTGATGACGTGATAACACACTGTATCAAATGTAAGGATTATTATCATTATTATTTTAGCTTTAGGTGCCTCACGCATGCCTTCCCTTAATAATCAGATAGCATCAGATGGTCCAAATGGCCTCCTCCTATGCTGCAATTTATTATTTCTCGCAAGGACAAGTCACGATAGCATCCCATCCCCATTGAGAAGGTCCAATGTCTCCAATAAACCAGTACTCTCAATCCAAAGGTTTGCTGGATTCCTCGATGGTAAGAGAATTCGAGCCTTATTTACAGGGTTAGAGAGTCTGTGACATTCAACAGTGACAGATAAGAGTCCCAGTCAGAGGCAAAGGGCCAGAAAACCAAAGGAATCTACCTGCCTAATGCATGCTGCACTCCCATTCAAAATAGCCCTCCCTGCCCTCCACCCATCCTGATCCCAACCCCCAGCTCAGTAATGTAATTTGTTGTTGTTGTTGATTGACATCAGGACCTTGGCCAGAGGCACTGGTGCAATATTGGTTTGTACATGTAAGTATCTGGAGGTTCAGTTAATAGGGGTAGTACGACTATATATGCCTAGTTATTAATGCAATTGGTATCTGTGTATTTCAGACAGACCAAAAGGCTATGAGAGCAAATTATATGAAAACAGAAAAATTCAAGGTAAGCTATTCTACATGTCAGACTGAATGGGTTTCATTTTATAATTGCATTTATTCCTGTTTAAAGCGCTTTAAATCTTAGCCTCCACCCACACTCAGGTTAACGATTCTCATCTTTTTCTTTTGTCGTTTCTATCAGGACTTGTTAGCTGTGTTCTCTTATGTATCTACATCAAGCGTAGACATAGTGAGATGGATTAGCATTTAGAAGAAAGGGCAACTATTGCTACAAGTACACAGTTACTACAATTCACAATAACTTTTGAAGCATCTTGACCTCATGATAAGACACCCACGTCAACTGCAAGGATTATTATTATGATTCAGGCATCAGTGACAAAGATTTCATACAAAAATATAAAAATATGAAAAAAATTGAGATGTATGATGCTAGAAAGCTCCAATTTTCTTGTGTTTATCTGCGAGTAAATTACCCCACCAGCTGAGATGGCAACGGAAACTCGTGGGTTGCTGAGTGATTCAAAACACTGCCCCATGTGAAGGGCACCATATAAATGCAAGTTGTTGTTGTTGTTCCGTCCAACTGGATTTCCAGCTTGTGAACATTGTCCAACTCCAATCTGAAGTCCTCAACAGGGTCCAGCTACTAACTTTAGCTCATTCTGAAACCTAATTATCCATGTAGCAATTTTCTGGGACCAAAAAAGAATGGTTGTACAGCTCACCATTTACTTCAGCCTCAAAAAAGCATTCTGATGACTCCTGAAGTCATCTTGGTTCAAGTTACATTTTGTTTGTCGGCCTGGCTCAGAGAGTAACACTTTCCCCACTGAGTCAGAAGGTTGATGGGTTCAAGCCTTGCATTGGGACTTGGAACTCATACAGTCAATGCTGACACTAATAATAAATAATAATACTCCTTGCATTTGATATAGTGCTCATCACATCTTCTAAGACATCTAAGAGTAGTCCATGATTAGAATGCACTTGCAGCTAATGAGGGAATTTGGTTATTTCTTTTGTATTAGATAAAGCGTAACATGTAAGTACACCTGCCATCTTACATTTAAATAGGTTAAATAATCTACTACACCCATTCCCAGTTCATCAGTGCCTTGTGCTGGATGATCAAATTATAAGCATTTATGGTGATTTGAAACAAGCTGAGAGGGCGCAGGGGGAAGCAGAACAAGGAAGAGAAAATCTGATTGCACATGTTGTGATTCCATTTCTAGATGGATTTGGTGAGCCTCATTCCTGTGGAAATCCTCTACATTAAATTGGGTGTTTATCCTGCATTGCGGTTTGTGCGATGCTTGAAGGTGAGTTTGACGTTTTTGTTCTTTCTCAGCTCATCCATGCTAGTTACACATTGCATTTAATGACGTGTTGGTGAGCTAACCTGATACTAGTTCCAGAAAAGGACTGCTTTTATACTGAGTATTTTGAATGCTCTTTTATTTTGCCCCCATCTTACTTCAAATGCTGCTGAAATTCTCATTCATGCCTTAGTCACCTTCTGTCTCAATGTTTTCAATGCCCTCCTCACTGGGGAGTCTGCCCAGATCCACTGTTGACAAGGTCCAAATGATTCAAAACTCTGCCGTCCTTGTCCTCATCCATACCAGGCTCCGTACCCCATCACCCTAATTCTCCCCAGACTCCACTGTCTTCCTTTGCAGAATGAATTGATTTCAAGATCCTCACTCCTACTTTCAAATCTCTTCATGCCCTGGCACCTCCCTACCTCTCCAGTCTGCCCACACCCTTCTCCTCTACACTCAGCTAACACAGGTCTCCTGTACATCCCTTGTCCCCTCCGCTTCACAATTGGGGCTGTGCTTTCAGCCACTCAGGAACACCTTGCTTCAATCTTTCCATCTTTCCCCTTCCCCCGCCCATCATCAAATCACACCTTGAGATGTTCCTCTTCGACCGTGCCTTCGGTCACCTCCCCTCCCCCTTTCTGGCTCAGGGTCAAGTCATATTGCTGTTAAGTGTTCCATGACGCTGCCCACGTGAAGGGTTTATATAAATGCAAGTTGTTTTTCAGTGTATATCTTCCAGGCACAAAGTAAGATGGCAGAAAATCTGGTGGACACTGAGTTGGTATCAGGGGGTATCATCTTCAGGAATGAATAACTCATTTTCTTAAGTACTCCAATCATGATCAGATGCATATTTTGACCCCTACCCTGACTCTGGCCAATTTAGTTTTGTCAGCAAATCTAACAGGCTGGAGAGACCGGTCACTAACGTGGAATAGTTCTGATCTTCCTTCAGGAATATATAATTACTCTCTCCACAAGCTCTGAAATAAGAGTTAATTTCCCACCTCGAGCTGTTCTCAGATTCTCATTTACAAGGAGATTCTCAGTTCTGACACCAGATGGGGCCCTCGACTTGGTTGGCTTCAGGGCTTTTTATCAGGTTATCAGGATACATCGTAAAGCAGGAATGAGGCAAAAATCTAATAATGCTGTGAAAGAAACCACTACTCACCAGTTACGGCACTGGATTTAATTGCGTTACTGAGTTCGCGACTGATAATAATAATAATAATAATCCTTGCATTTGATATAGCGCTTTTCACGTCAGGAGGACGTCCCAAAGCGCTTCACAAAACACACTGTAAAGTGAATTGACTGTATATTTGTGGGCGAACGCGGCAGCCCGGTACAGGAGGGAGCGTTCTTCTCAGAGTAGGCTCAATCGTCATATTGATAGGGTTATGGAGCCTGGTGCGGGAGAGGACGCAGGCTGCAGAGTTCTGGATTATCTGCAGCCTATGGAGGGGCAGAGTTGTGGAGGCCGACGAGCAAGGCGTTTGCATAGTATTGGTGCAGACTAGAAGAACCTTACTCTGTATCCAGTCTGTGCTGAATCTGACCTGGGAATGGTTGACACTAAAAACAGAAAAGTATTCGGCCAGTTAACCCTGGTTTAAGTCACCTTGTTGAGCACAACGATTCACCAAACACATGAATTTTACATATATTAGTACTGGGTGTTGCGTAATGTTAAATTGAGCTGGTTTGGTAATTATAGTAATAATAATAATCATTTCATTTGATACAGCGCTTTATCACATCGTCGAGATGTCTGAAAGCGCTTCACAGAATATACTGTGAAGTGAATTGACTGTATATTCATGGATGAAATGCAAATGTAGTGAACAGTAATGAAGAGTAATGAAACGTAGTGTGTTATTGAGTTAATATTGAGTATATACAATGACATGTGACTGAACTAATATGTGGTTAATGTTCTTAACAGTACTTGACCTTCCTTGAATTTAATGACCGACTTGAATCAATTATGAGCAAGGCTTATATCTACAGGTAACTATCTGGATCATACAATGTAACCTAATGTTAGAGAGGAAAGTGAGTCAACGTTTCAGACCTGAAACGTTAACTCACTTTCCTTTCTCCATAGATACTGCCTGACCCGCTGAGTGTTCCCAGCGACTTCTGTCTTTGTTTCAGATTTCCAGCATCCGCAGTATTTTGCGTTTTTGTAACATATTGTTATCTTGCTTTGATTAAACTCATCTCATTCCACGTTAGTCACAACATTGGATTCAATGATATGTTGTTGAGCCCTGATGTGCTCTGTGTATCTAAGTGATGCAAACAATAATAACTTTCAAAAGGGAATTGGATAGATACTTGAAACGGAAAAAAAGTGTAGCAATAATAACAACAACAAAATTACGTTTATATGGCGTGTTTCCCATCGGTTCTGGACTGGCTTAGTAAGGTGGAGTGTGCACAAAGCACAGGAAAACCCAGACAGACTGATACCTTGTCACTGTGACGTTTGGGGCACAGAGTGACATTAATTGCAAGATTCAAAGAATTTATAAAACAGCGAATCTTGACTTCATTTTCCTACTAAATCCTGGTGACTGACTCTCTCCTACACAGGCAGCATATCACTCTGTAGGAACAGTCACTTAAATACTCTTGAGCAGTCCACTTTCTAGGCGGAGACTGAATCGGCTTCACAAAGCAAGCGTTTATACTGTGGTTCAAATCAGCTTTCAATTTGATGATAAAACCACGAGTGCACTTCATTATTGAGTTATTATGGACACAGCAGTAACCACACGTGACCCAGGACACACAGACCCGCATATTAAGATACCAACTCTCATAGACATCCAACTCCTGTTGTTGCCCAGTTTTTACTGCTCATTTGCATTGAGTTGCTTCAAATAACAGAGGATAAATCTGGATTGTGCCGCATTACCTGAGAGCAAATTCCACTGGACCTCATTGGTGAGAGGATGGTTTCATGAGCACATTGCTTCGAATCACTGCAGTTAAAAACACGTACACACACTTCGACAGTTGATTCGGGATCCACTAAAATGTATAATGGATCATTCCTTTCAGTGTTATGAAAGAGCAGGCTGGGTGACCCGGTTACATAGAGTAATATGTTGGCCCATGCTGCTGTTTATATGTCATAAGATTCATTCATAACCCTCAATTCCCTTCCTCCTTTATATACGCATCAGGTTTTCTCTTAAATAGATTGAAGCTATTTGTTTCTAACCACAACTTCAACATTTTCATCGCTCTCTGTGTGAAGAAGTTCCTACTAAACTCCCTATTAGATACTACTGTTAGCTTATATTTATCCCCTCTGGTTTTGGATTCCCCAACAACATCAAACATAAAATAATCAATACTAGTGAGTGGTGCTGTGGGCAATTCCTGGGAGAACAATTGAGACGTGGACCCCTTGCTTGCCACTCTCGAGCCACTCTACAAATACTTCATAACAGTATAAACAAGTCATGGGTTTTTGCAGCTTTGCGTTCTGATCTTCATTGGCCAGAATAATTCAATAAATCTCTCAGTATTTATTTGAAAAGTATTTGTTTTAAGGTTGAATTTTAACACACGCCTTGTGTTTTATAGGGTAATAAGAACCACAGCGTACTTACTCTACAGCCTCCATATAAATGCTTGTTTGTACTATTGGGCGTCTGACTATGAGGGGATTGGAGCTAACGATTGGGTCTATGATGGTGAGGGAAACAGGTAATGATTTCTTGATGTTTCCCTTGCAGGCTGCTTGTCACATCACATCTTCTTCATTTCCCAACCTCGTTAATGTAAACTTTACTAACTCCAGTATATGTGTCTGGCTGGCTGCAAGACATCTGACAGAATAATATAGAAAGTTCATGTAGCTCTGTAAGAATCCGGTTATGTTGAGTCCTGGGAATACTTTGCAGCACCAATGTTTAAATCTGATTGTTTCATAACATAAAATAGTTTCATAGGAATACTGATCTTCCCCTTGTCTCTAGCCTAACAGTCCTAACAGCTGGGGTGGTCCTCCTTAGACACACAGCACGAAGCTTGTCACAGTGCTTTCAATGGCAAACTACATTTTTAGGAACATAGGAACAGGAGTAGTCCACTCAGCCCTTTGATTCTGTTCCGCCATTCTATAAGATCATGGCTGATCTGTACCTCAACTCCATTTACCCGCCTTTGCCCCATATCCCTTGATACCCGGACCTGACATCCATCTATCCATCTCAGTCTTGAAATTTGTAATTGATCCAGCATCCACAGCCTTTTGGGGAAGAGAGTTTTTAGCTGGTTAAATTCTGGCTTTATACACAGTCAACCCACTTTACAATATATTCTGTGAAGTACTTTGAGATGTCTCAACGACGTGATAAGGCACTATATCAAATGCAAGGTTTATCAGTATTTATCCCCAATTCAGATTCTGGGGATCCCAAGCCTTGGCTCTTGGAAACCTATTGCCTAATACTCTCCAAAGTTAAGTAAGCAAGTTGTGTCCTTCCAGGGAGAGAGGGTGTATTCCATTCCAGACTCAGGGAACTTTCCCTGTGTTGGTGGCAAGCGTACCCCTAAGTGTGCATTTTTTTCTGCACGCGTCACCACCCCCCACCGAAATTCATTGTCTGCATTGTTTTAAGTTCATTGGTTTATTTTACTTTTAAAATGTTTAAGTGGATGTGATTTGTGAGCTTTCATTCTCTGCTTTCGAGTACTTTATAATAATCCTTGCATTTGACATACGCCTTATTTCTTTGTTGAGACGCCTCAAAGCGCTTCACGTAATTTACTGTAAAATGGATTGACTGCATTTTGTGGGCGAAACGTGGCAGCCAGTTTGCACACAGCACCGTCCCACAAACAGTCATGGATTAAGCGACCAATTTTATTTGGGGGGATGTTGGCCAGGACAACGGCAGAGGTTTGTGGTTCTTTCTCTCCCACAGCTACATTCGGTGCTATTACTGGGCTGTGAAGACCCTGATTACAATCGGAGGATTACCAGACCCCAAAACAGTGTTTGAACTTCTCTTTCAACTTATCAACTACTTCATTGGAGTCTTCATCTTCTCGATCATGATTGGTCAGGTAACGACTGTATAAAAAGGATCAGCCATCACCAAGGGACTCCACCAAAGTGCGTCATCAATAGAACCAGAGGACATGGCCTGCGATTGAAGGAGGTTGTGGGGTTAAATTCAACACAAATCTGCGGGAATGCTATTTCAGTGAGCGAGTAGCAAACATACAGACTCAGCAGGGAAACAGCGGAAGCAGATTCAAATTGGATAGATGGCGTTCCCCAGTTCCGGTTGAAACGGAAAAGGAAGATGAGGGAGAGGTTGTTTCTAAATCTTTTGATAGCTCCGTATTGATCCGGATGAGCCCCTCTCACCATGGTGACAAGGAACAAGTGTTGTCCGTGGAAGTTCCTAAGGATGAAGAGGAGGTACACAAAGAGGAGGAGATACACAAGAAGAAGGAGCCTGACAAGTGATAGTGATTGTCTTAGATTTGTGCTGCTATCAGTTAATATAATAATAATAATAATAATCCTTGCATTTGATATAGCGCTTTTCACGTCGGGAGGACGTCCCAAAGCGCTTCACAGAACACACTGTAAAGTGAATTGACTGTATATTTGTGGGCGAACGCGGCAGCCAATTGCGCACAGCAATGTCCCACAAACAGTCGTAGATTGAGTTAAGCAGATTAGATTAGACTGCACAGGGTCTACCCTTACTCTGAATGCTACCACACAGTGAACCTTTTCACTGAGTCTTTAGAATGGGATTTGCCATTATAATGATGTGGTGAGAAAACACTACTTTTAGCAATTAGGGTGACCTCAGTGCTGCCTGCGTTGGGAGGATCCAGAACAGGTCTGATGTGTTAATTCTAGAAATGTCACATGTTCCAACAATGATATTCAAATAGTGTCTGCGTAGATCAAGCACACGAGAGGGATTTACTAACGTTAATGAGATGGGTTAGCTAACGAGCCAAGCCCACACAGACCCACAAACACACATACACACGTTTCCATGTTACATACTAAAACATACAAATAATAATAGTCCTTGCCCTTGATCTAAATGTCGCAAAACACTTCAGTTGTCCAAACAAAGTCTGCGTTCACACACAGACTAGACACAGATACGCTATACATATGCAGTATGTATAAACCAGAAACACAGCACATTGCACAGAAATAATGTAGATATTGGAGTACACTGATCTCTACAAAAGGGAATGTTTGCTGTCCCTTTCTATATGTATTCCCACTATAAAGGTGCAGTGACAGTTTATTCTCTTTCATGACCAACGTAAAATGGCCCCATACAGTGGAGTATTGTACATTGAGACCCAAATTGCACACTAATGCGCACACTACACAGTGTATATCTACTCGGTATGCACAGGAAACTTTCTGTGAATGTTTACACACACAGACGCAAGCATTGATTACATTATGCTGACTTACACAATTCTTTATACATACACACAACATTCAACATATGTAAACATTTCTGTCACACATTTCACCAAACATATATGAGAAAAATAGCATTTTGAGACATTACAATAACAGCAGAGCCTGTAAATTAGTACTATGTCATGTGATCAGTCCTCGGTCCGTCCCCCCCTCCACCGTTCCTGGGGAGTAGCTAATAACAACAACAACAACAAATTGCATTTTTATAACGCCTTTCGTGTCGGGAGGACATCCCAAGGCACTGGGCGGTGCTAATAATCACTACCAATAAGACTCACTAACATATGTACTATCTTACTGTAAACAAGTGTTTAATCCCACATCCCATGAGCATGTGGGAACACAGGAGAAACACGGAATCCCCTCCCAGTGAGAATACCTTCCATGTTACATGGTTTCATTGAGCTGCAGAATTCTGATGCAAGATGTCTCCCCTCCAACAAGAGACTTGAAGAGAAGAAATGAAACTCAGCAAGCCCTCTCTGGAGGAACACAGGATAGATTGGAACAGCACCCGTTGTGTTTCAGGTCCTCTGTTTCCTTATGCCCACAATCCACCCATAGCAAGAAAGCAAATCAGGCCACACTCAGTCTGCCATGTCGAGTGAGAGTAGCAGAGAGGCAAGTGTGTGTAATGTGATATCACAGCATTAAGTGAATTAAAGAAAAGGGTAGAGTGCAGATCCTCATAATCTAATCCATAACCAGGATAATAACACTGTACACATACATACACACACTCACTCCGTCTTGTGCTTGTAATGAGCACATGACTGATAGTGATACCTAACCCACTTCATTTGCAGAGCAGAAGCCTGAGGAATCGTTCCATTGTTATTGGGAATGTAACATTAGCCTTCATGGATTACTGTTTTGGGTCTCATTAAGTTCTCACTGCAGATACCGTACTGCTTAGAGCTAACATTGCGAGAGTTTATTGTAGTGAACTATTGCTGTGCCGAATATATTTACTGTCTTCAACTATGCTTTTTGCCAGCGATGATTAACAATTAAATTGATTATACGATGTATGTCTCTCGAAGTTCAAAAACTATTTAACCCGAACAAGAGCAACAGTAAGCATTGGTTTACGGTGGTGTTTGACTGGAGCCTTTAGGTCCTAAAATTAGTTTGATCATTTGGGGGGAAATAGAGAATATATGACGTGCAAGAAATGCCATGGCATATAAGGTATTGTAAAGAAAACCTGTTATGACAATAAGTTCCTTTTAGGGACAAGTGTTCCTTTAAAGAAGAATTTCCTTTTCGGGTGTTTTACTGCTGAAAGGCTGGTCAGAGCTTTTCAACAAATGGTGCCCTTCTCTGCAGTGAATCTGATATACACGTTACAGTATCACACAACTCCAGTCACCTGGCAAACGAGAACAAAAAAAATCAGGTTCTCAGCCCTGTGGGATTGCTCCTCCTAATAATATCTGGACTTGGAGCTCACAGTCGAGGTTTGATCCTCCAGTGCAGAGTTGGGGGAGCGCTGCATTGTCGGACGCGCTGTCCTTTGGAAGATACGTTAAGCCGAGGTCCTGTCTGCCTGTTCAGGTGGATGTTAAAGATCCCACGGCGCTATTCAAAAAGAGAAGAGAGTTTCTCCCGATGTCCTGACCAACAATTCCCCAAATATAATTGGTCATTCACTTCATGGCTGTCTGTGGGATATTGTTGTGTGTGATTGCCCACAAAATACAGTCACTCCCCTTTAGAGTATACCCTGTGAAGTGCTGTAAGACATCCTACAGACGTGAAAGGCTGTATATAAAATGGAAGGATTATTATTATCACCGAGTCCATCCTGTCTGTGCCGCTGCTCCTGTTTTTCCAAATCAGCTTATTTTTTTCTGGCCGACAATCCCCCAGATATAATTGGTCAGTCACTCCACGGGCTGTCTGTGGGCCATTGCGGTGCGCAAATTAGTTGCCGCGTTCGCCTATAAATACACAGTCACTACACTTTACAGTAATATCCTGTGTAGCGTTGTGAGATGTGTTAATGGCGCTATATGAAATATCAGACTATATACGTATATATGTATATATATGCAAATATATATATATATATATATCGACACAGTCACATTATATCGATCACCTTTCACTTTGATCAATGTATTCCCGATTCATGAAACTTGAACGCAGTTGCTCCCGTGGCCCCGCCCCCTGACGGCAAGGCCCCGCCCCCCGACGCAGTGACCCCGCCCCCGACGCCCTGGGCCACGCCCCTGACGCCATGGCCCCGGTCGCTGATTGGTCGGCGGCCGGGTGGGGGCGGGCCTTCGTGTCATTCACAAAAAAATGTATCCCCCCAGCGGCTGCGCATGCGCTGAGCGAGCGTCTGAGTGAGTGAGTGAGTGAGTGAGATCAGCTGTGAGTGTGTGTGTGAGAGAGTGACTGTGTCTGCGCTGTCGCCCAGAGCTGAGCTGCGGAGAGGGAGGGAGTGAGTGAGAGAGTGAGACCGACAGATGTTCTGCGCGTTAAGTGTCGGTAAGTTTTCTTTATTGTGAACCCAGAGACGGGGTGGGCGGCTCCGGCTCGTGTTACCCCCCCCACCCCCCCCCCCCACCCACCAGGGAGTAGGGGAGCGGCCAAAGGGAGGAGGAGAAAGAGAGAGAGAGAGAAGGTAGCACTGCAGGGGAGAGAGCAGGAGGAGAAGGGAGGGAAGGAGAAAAGGGAGGTGGGGAGGGAAGGAGAAGGGGGGATGGAAAAGGGGGAGGAAGGAGAGGGGTGGGGGGGGGAAGGAGAAGGGGGGGGGGTGGGGGAAGGGGTGGGGTGGGGGGAGAGAGAGAGAAAGGGGAGAAGTAGGGGAAGGAGAGGGGACCAGGGAGGGAGATGGAGAGAGAGGGAGAGGACAGGGAGGGAAGAAAGGGCAGTGGGAGAGGGGCAGTGGGAGGGGAGATGGAGAGCACAGTTGCTCCGTTCAGTATCGCCCCCTCCCTCAGGTTTTTGCCCTCTGCTGTGTGGACCCCCTTTTTCTTATATACCTGCGCTGCTATCTCTGCGTCCAGAGTTATTACACCATCCACTCCCCCCCCCCCCCCTCCACCACACCCCACCACACCCCCACCCCCCCCCACCACACCCCACCCCCCCCCACCCACCCCACCCCCCACCACAACCCACCACCCACCCTCCACCACACCACCCACCCACCCCTCCTGTGCCGTCTCCCTCCTGCCCTCCCTCATCGAGCGCTCTGGGGCGCTAACCCTGTGTGAGGGGCGCTATGTAAAGGCAAGTTGTTGTTGTTGTTGTGGTGGCGGTGGTGGTGGCCGGGCCGCCCCCTCGGCCGCTGCGCCGTAACCTGTTCAGATGTCGGGGTGACGCCCGGTTTGCCCGGCGCCGACTCTCGCTGCCCCGCACCGACTCTCTCTGCCCCGCGCCGACTCTCGCTGCCCGGCGCCGACTCTCGCTGCCCGGCGCCGACTCTCGCTGCCCGGCGCCGACTCTCGCTGCCCCGCACCGACTCTCTCTGCCCTGCGCCGACTCTCGCTGCCCAGCGCCGACTCTCGCTGCCCCGCGCCGACTCTCGCTGCCCCGCGCCGACTCTCGCTGCCCGGCGCCGACTCTCCCTGCCCGATGCCGACTCTCGCTGCCCTGCGCCGACTCTCGCTGCCCTGCGCCGACTCTCGCTGCCCTGCGCCGACTCTCGCTGCCCGGCGCCGACTCTCGCTGCCCCGCGCCGACTCTCGCTGCCCCGCGCCGACTCTCGCTGCCCGGCGCCGACTCTCGCTGCCCGGCGCCGACTCTCGCTGCCCGGCGCCGACTCTCGCTGCCCTGCGCCGACTCTCCCTGCCCGGCGCCGACTCTCCCTGCCCGGCGCCGACTCTCCTGCCCGGCGCGCCGACTCTCCTGCCCGGCGCCGACTCTCGGCTGCCTACGCTCAGTGTCACATTCACTTTCCATCAAAACATCACTACATCATTTCTAACAATAACAACAAAAAAATTACATTCGTGTAGCGAGTTTCACGTCGGAGGACATAAGGCTTTTCCATCACGGGATCCGTACCTTGGCAGTACTTACCTGGACTTGCTAAATGCCCAGACTGCTTTTGGTTTAGTTTTTTGTTTCTTTTCTTTCAACTTATAGTTGTCTTTTCAGGAACAGTTTTCCTTCACAATTAAGTATATCCCTGGTAACATCCCTCTGTCTACATCTTTAGCCACATATAAAGTCCTAACATTCGTATGCTGTGTAGAATATCATTGCTTGTTGATCCCGCTCCTACTCTGTGAGGTGTATAATGTTATATAAACATAATAATAATCTTTGCATTTGATATAGCGCTTTATCAGGTCTTCGGGACATCTCAAAGCGCTTCACAGAATGTACTGTAAAGTGAATTGACTGTATATTTTGTAGGTGAAACGTTGATCTGCTGTGCCTCTTAGTTACTCTCTTCTTATGTGGGCAAGTGATCGATGGGCAGATGCCTCAATAATAATAATAATAATAATCCTTGCATTTGATATAGCGCTTTTCATATCTTTTAGATGTCCCAAAGCGCTTCACAGAATATGCTGTAAAGTGAATTGACCATATATTTCTGGGCGAAACGCAGCAGCTAATTGCGCACAGCAGTGTCCCACAAACAGTTGTGGAATGAAAATGTCCAACTTATTATTGTTTTGTTTTTTGGAGGGACTATTATCAGGTGTGTGCAGTAAGGAAACTTGCCCAAGGTTTCGCCCTGCCGGGAATTGAACCCAGGTGTCTCGCTTGCAAGGCGAGTGCTCTAACCACTAAGCTACAGGACTCCATGATGTATTTGCAAAGCTGTACTGAAATGTGTGCCCTTGTTTTTCATCTTGTTAATTCTAATTTTATCTTGTATTTTGTGGATTTGCTCCTTGAGATCCTTGTCACTGGAGGCCGAGGTATTTCTGATCTTGAATCTCCTGTTGTAGGAGTATCAGCGGAAAAAGGATTGGGATGGGGGCGTCGCATCAACACCATGTTGTGGGTTGTGTTGATGATGGATTTACTGGTGGCGCTTTCTAATGCTGGCGTCAAGTAAAAAAATCTTTAGACTATCTCAGTCGGAGAGTTCAGCATTTCTACGTGTCCTGTAATGAGCAAACATTGATATTGATATAAGATTGCATCAGCAGCCCCCTGTGTGAGTAATCTCATAATGGACTGAACTATAGACAGTCCAGGACATCAAACATCTCAAGGATGGCCCCTTGAAGATCCTCCTGCATGTGACCTAGAGATAATGCAATAAGCTTTATTGTGCAATCTTGCATCTCGTGTGAGCTGCTGTTGCACTTATAACCTTCTGTTAAATGTGTTGCCACCATCCTCCATACCGATGTATGTGCCTTAAACTAAGCTTTTGACCTGCAATGGGTCCAGCCAATTTGCATTCCTCTCCTAGGACTGCTACGTCCTTTGTGTCAGGTAAGTGTTCACTTGGTGATAACGTGTTGCGTTGGTGCAAGTGTCAGATTTCCTGTGTGATACCTCGGTTAGTGGTACTCCTGGTAATGGTTGCTGTTAGTCATGGTGTTTTCGTTAGCACGATTGATGGCTGATGCTGTGCTGGTGATGCTGCTGGTAATCTCTCTTCATCCAAACTCATCCTTGGAGAGAAAACACCACCTTTATCAACATCAAATAGCATCGATATAAAGATGTATCTGTTTCCTAGCATTGTTTTTGCACCAATTAGTAAATACCATATGCATTTTGTATTGCAATAATGGTATTTGTGTAGAGCACTTTGATGCACAAAGTGTGGGAAGCTACTTGCCAGAATTACTTGACGAATATGCCACCTAAAGGTCTCAGAGAAGTCTTTTATCATCTCCGTGGAGAAGAGTTGGCTAACTCATGGCTTGCATATTGACTACCTGGGGTCCTCTTTGCTCTTCGTGGTTGTATTTGAATGGGATCTTCTCCTTTCTTCATAACAATGAACCAGCTTCTGAAGTCTGTGTTTCAAGAAACTCGATCAAACTGTTCAGACACGGCTCAGGTTTCTCTACCTGCCTTAAGGTTTGATCCAAAAATGATCCAGTTTCTGCAATGATGAGGTCCAGCTCTGTCTGTGTAAACCTTGATTTGTCACCATTAGCATTTTCCTCTCAGTTCTGACATTCGGGGTTACAGCTAAGTAATTTATAGGGATCAAGTGCTTCGTTTCCAGTTTAGAAGAATATTTATCATTGAGTATTGTTGTTGTGCTGATCTTGGATGTGTTGGTATTAAAGCAACAGTAATCAATCTTGATTGGCTTCTATATTACCAATACAACAAGCCTCAACCCTGTTAATGTATTAGCCATTATAATGATTATAATGCATATTATGTAGCATTAATCTGTTTCTATTAGCTGTGTGGTGCAACAACCAGTGTTGATGTAGATATTTGTTGTAGCATAATACACACTAATTTGTATCAATCACATTATTTAGCTGTGCTGTGTTATGTCCTGTAATCAACGTTGATTGACTTACTGTGTTAGCTATGCTGTATTACGTACTGATCCATTTACATGTAAACTCAGTGATTGCTGTCTCCCACAACAGACATGCTGTACGTGATATGGTTGTCCTGCGTGATGTTTGCCTGGAATTGGAACATCTGGCTGATCCCCGTGCGCTGCACCTTTCCTTATCAAACACCCAACAATGTGCATCTGTGGCTGATGATGGATTACTTCTGCGATCTGATCTACCTGCTCGATATGGCTGTGTTCCAATCACGGCTCCAGTTCGTAGAAGGAGGAGACATTATAGTGAGTAGTCATTTCGAGTTACACCTGAACAGAAGAGAAACATTTGCTCAGTTACCTTCAGTAGTGTGCAGTGTCCAGTGTTGGGCTTGAAGATTTAAAATCAATATTCTACCTGACATCCAAAGTTACCATCTGTAAATATGGAGCTAGGAGCTGCGTTAAGTTGTTCCATCAGAGGGATTGAAATGTCAGTTTGGCTCAGTGGTAGCCTTTGAGTCAGAAGGATGTGGTTTCAAGTCCCAACTCGTCTAAACTGATACTCCAGTGTGGTGGTTGGTGAGCACTGAATTGTCGGAGGTGCTGTCCTTCAGTTGAGACATTAAACCGAGCTCCCGTCTACCTGTTTGGGTAAACCTTAAAGATTCCATGGCACTCTTTATATGTTGTAAAGTCAATTCACTTTACAGTATATCATGTGAAGCACTTGGAGACGAGGCGTTCTATCAAATGCAACAATTATTATTATAACTATTCTCTCTCCCTATGTCCTGGCCAACAATCCCTCAAATAAAATTGGTCACTCACTCCATGTTTTTTTGTGCACAACTGTTTGTCATAAAATACAACAACACTTTACAGTATATTCTGTGAAGTGCTTTGAGACATCTTGATGACGTGATAACACACTGTATCAAATGTAAGGATTATTATCATTATTATTTTAGCTTTAGGTGCCTCACGCATGCCTTCCCTTAATAATCAGATAGCATCAGATGGTCCAAATGGCCTCCTCCTATGCTGC